TAGGTTGGATATTAGGAAAAATTTCTTTACGGGGAGAGTAATCAGGCATTGGAACAGGCTGCCTAGGGAAGTGGTGGAATCACCTTCTCTGGAAGTGTTCAGAAACTGTGTAGATGAGGCCCTCAGTGACATGGTTTAGTGGTAGATTTGGCAGTCCTGGGTAAAGGTTGGACTTGATGATCTTAAAGGTCTTTTCCAACCTAGTTGATTCTATGATTCTATGAACAGAACTGGCTTAATTATCAATAAGTGAAAGGATAAACAGTACTTAACTAAATGGTTTAATAAAATGCAGGAAAATATATGCTAATTATCAAAGTGAATGAGTGAATTAAACAAGAATATGTTGTGTTATGTATATAAATACTTGAGCTAATTTTTTGTTTCTTCATTACTCTATTTTTAAAAAATGGAGTTCAAAAGTATCTTCATTTCTAATGCTCAGAATAAGAGATGTGATTTGTATGAACATATGCAGCAATTATGTCAAAACTAAATTTCTTCAGTTCTGTGGTTACCATGGTAACCAATATTCACTGTATTTCATTTAGACATACAACAGAATAGAAGATACTAGGTTTAAGATTTAATAATCTTTGCAAAAATATTGTGTTATATAGTACATGATATTTTAATTATGTGTAAAGGGACAGATCAAATAACTAACATGCTTAGTAGCACGAACATTGGTAGTAAGCATCTTTAAAACATATTTGGATGATTCTTGTGGTAATAGAATTTGGATGCTCATTTCTAACAATCAAATTGAATTAGCTTTTTTTGCTTGAGCAGGGAGATTGTTCCTACTACTGTTGGATCTCTTTGACCTTTCAGGAATAAGAAAGAAAACAGTAATTCTCCTATTGTCTTGTTTCTGGCCTTGGAATGTATGAGGAGAGACACTGAAATAGTAGATCAGGTAGCATCTTTAGTCAGAGATAGTTATGTTTTATGTGAACCCATGTCACAGAATGTGAGTTGCTCTTAATCTTACCTGTTTTCTCCGTACTACTTGGTAGAAGTGTAATTCCTCTTTTCTGATTCATGTGAGAAAGGTGGAAGACAAGAATGTATATAGAAAGACAAGGTGGATCATTCATGACAATGTCACAGAATACTGGGATTTAATTTCCTTATCTATTACAGATTTCCAAAGTCCTTGTTTTTCATCCTGTTTAATTGTGTGGGGGTTTGGGTTTTGGTGGGTAGTTTTTTGTTGTTCGTTTGTTTAAGAGTTCCTCTTTGCAGTAAGGTCTGCAGGAAAAGAGTAGGGGTTAAATTTAAGTTGCAGACTAGCTGGAATGAATGATAAGAATAGTGGAATACTGGGAAAAAAATCAAATTGATTTTGATACAGGACTATTTCAGGGACTTATATGATAGTAGTAAGACCTCAGCTGTAATATTTTTAGTTTTGTATTCCATTAGAAGTTTTTGAGAGTGCATCATTTGATCTTAATAAACTTCTTAAAGCTTAAAATGGCTGGTATAATGGACTTGTTCTTGGGATCTCGTTCCTGTGAAGGAATAAAGTGCAACAAATAATGTAATGAATTTTGCCTATCTTTGGTTGCTTTTAATAAAAACAGCCAGAATAATTTAATAATTCTATTTTTATTTTAATTAGAGTTGGTGGTTTATGTTAGCCAGCTTATGAAATTTTACATGAGGCATTGTTTTCAAGAGTCAGCCCGGAGTCTCACTGTAACAGATTTTAATGCTGCAAATGTCTGTTTAAATGACACTGGACTATTTTGAAACATGTGCACTGATTGTAGCTTGGGGAAATAATTTCAGGAACATTAATCCCTTTCTGCACATTCTGAATTAAACCTGGGCTGCATTTCAGTGGTTAAAAGACTCACTGCGTCACTTGGGGACAGGCAGAGATTGTGCAAGAAACATTTAAGACCTTAAAACCAAACGGTAAAATGCTGTATTCGCAGCAAGTTAACACTTGGAGAGCAGCAAATTATAGAATAAGATGTAGACTGTTTGTGGAATGTTAGCTCCTTTCAACTATGAATTAATTTATAATTTTTATTTATGCTGACTGCATTTTGGGGAAGGAGGAAATATTCCAACACAAATGACATAGTCGCAGGGAAGCAGGAATCAATGAGAAGATTTTAAGCAAAATTCTTTGATTCGGCCATCTCTATTGTGTTTATGAGATAGATAATCTCAGTTTGCACTTAGTTTACTTGATAGTGAATTAGAGCTTTGGTGAAGAGGTAAGTATGGCAGCTGATCAGAAAAAGGTTCTTGGAGAATAATCTTTTTATTAAGCATATTTATGAACATACCAGGAATCTGCCTGGAAAATGGCATTTATTATAAGAAATAGTAGTAATAGCTCATGTTAGGTAGATAGAAATTCTAACATCTAGATTCTGGCGTTTTTTAATTGAAAAATATTTATTGAGGATTTTACTTTTAACAAAAACTTTGTTAATTTCTTATTCTTCTATTTGATAAATTGGTGTTTGAAAATTATTTTTAGCCAATCAGAAACTATTTGTGTTATAGAAAGGTACCAATAAAGTAATGAAAATATTGTGTGTGTTGACTTTATCTATAGTCCTATTTAATAATATATGTAATGTACATATGTTTTTATAAATATATCCACATGTACCCAATGAAAGAAATGCCATTTTTCTCTTTTTTATGGAGAAGCATACGATGAATTTGAAAAGGTATACTGTATGACTAATGTAGTGGATATCTTTGTCAGAATGAGAAAATTAGTTTGAATTCTGTAAAACAATTTGTGCAGAATAACATTTCTTGAAGGTCATTTTACAGAATAACACTTCCTGAAGGTCAGAGTTATACATTACAGAATTGTGAATGTAACTCACTGGTTTTGATTTATTTTATATGAATAGGACAATATAAAAGGATTTTTTTAATTTGGATTTTGATAACTACATAACTGTGAAGATAAGTAGTCTAATATTTATACACATTGAGGCTGATTTTCAACAGATACTAAATGAGCTACATGCTAATTTTCTTTCCATGAAATACTGCCTTTGTCATCAACTGCCAATTTGTCCAATATATTTTTCCCCCATACATTGTTATATACAGTGAAATGCATCTTTGTGCTGTGTATATGATTCCTTATCAGGCAAGTGATGTTCTCACCTTTCTGTTAACTCATGCTTGCATCTCACATAATAGTCTGTTCATAACTTGTTCCAGATATATTACTGACTATATAAGCAACAACAAATTGAAACCATTTCTTAAGCTTTTCTTCTGGATTTCATCCTTTTTTATGCAGTATTTTTCTCATCTTTCCTCCTTTCTCTAGAGCTATTCTGTCTGTCAATACTTATTTTCTTTGAATCCCTAAGAGTTTTGTATTCTTTTGTACTCCTTGTTGGAGCTAATGTCGTCCATCTGGTCTGACTGTCAGGATGAGCCTGTTACAAGAGTAGAATTTTGTTTTGCGGAGTCCAAGAAGCTGACATCCTGTCACAGATAATGCTAAAAATTCCTACTTGCCAAATCAGCTTATTTCTTTGAACAACACTGAATTCCTCCATTGGAAATAATTGTTTCATAAAATTAAAAAAACCACCAAACTTGAAAAAAATGGGCACTAATGTTCAAATGACATGCAAAAATGGTTCATGTAATACATTTTCCATACATTTCCTGAGGAGAGTTACATAGCTGAAAATGTGGTGATTTGAAGCTTTGCTATATGTATTATGAACTTTATTTAATTCAAAAAATATTTTCTGTAGCTTTAGTTCGAAAGGCTTTGCTGTTCAGAGTTTCCAAGTCAATTAGTTTGTTATGGTAACAGAGCACCAGCGGTGACTGCATTGCAGTGCATAGATGTTCATGGAGATCAGCTGTGGACTCAGCATTTCTTTTGGCAAGCTTGGTACAGTTAGATCTAGTATTTCTTTGGAACAGGCTTGAGTCTGAGTTTTGTGGATCAATATATTGAGGCATGGGGAGTGTGAATAGTGTATTTCAGTTTCACTCTTCTCTGACTGGCTGTCTAGTTGGAATCTTAGGCAACTATTTTCTGTTTCAAACAGCTTGGAATAAACATTTCTCTATTTTGTAATAATACTACTTACAAAAAATATGGAATGCTAAAATCTATAGTTCATGCAATATTTTTTTCTAGTATTTTTTCTTGATGAGCGCTTAACATAGGTGTTGGGATTCTTTTGCTTTTTTACTGGATGGTCTTTGTAAGTTGATAATAGTTGGAAACCACAATTTACTGTGGACTTCTAACATGCGAATTACACAGTCCAGGAAGTGTCCACCTGGATCTCTGTATGGCAATACAGTTATTTGTCAAATATATGAATTATAAGGGTGAAAAAATATTTCGGTAAATAACATCAGCTTGATATCCTGGGGCTTAACTATCTAAGTTTTCAGCCAGTATTGTTTTTCTGAATTATGTAAATTACAAATAAATAATGTTGGATTTGTTTATTGTAGTAAACCTGAGTTAGAAGTCTATATGCAGATAAGTAGTTATTTTCCTCTCTTCCATGTCATCTGTCCATTGAGATGACAGTGTTTCAGTCTACAGATCTATGGGCTTCCCTTGTGTTGGAAGTTTGTTAATTAAATTTATCTCATAGGTTATGCATTTTGTTTTTCACAATTTTCCAGGTAGTGCTGGTTACTACTGTTATGATAGATCCCAAAATAACCCGTATTTTAAAATTTAAATTGACAATTTAATTAAAAAAAATCAAAAAGCTAGGTCAGATGGGTTGAAATTTGGTTGTCTTGGTTTTCATTGGCTTTCTAACTGTAATTTCCTTAGGTAAATAGGGTCCACTGTGAGAGCACTGTTTAGTTGCTCCTTTTCCCTTAGTAGGAAAAGTGACAATGGAGTTGCTGACCTTTAAAAATACTGCAGATGTATCACTGATGGAATACTTCTTTTTTTCTGATGAAAATAAGAGTTTTTAAAACGTGCATGTGTGTATGTATATATGTATGCAAAAATGTCTGAGACACCATCATTTTCATTTTCTTCTGATGTCAGTGATGGGCCATCCCAAGGTATGTCAGGTACGTCTTCTGTTATACATTTCTCAAATAGTTTAATAAAGAGCTGAAATATGAGACAAAAGAAATTATTTTAGATTTTGTATTTGTAATATTTTATAAGACTAGTCCTCTTTCTTGGTCCCCATCTGCCACACTGTTGGAAAAACCTTCATGCAAATGATGCATTTGTAGACTTTGTATATCAGTCATGGACTTACTGCTGTCACTCCATCCTCTAATGATAGTTCCGTTTTCTACCTGAAAACAAAATTGGCTGTATTTCACTTCTCAATTTAATTTTTATTTTAAATTTATTTTTTAAATTTGAATATAATTTTTCCATCTTTCTTTTACAAAGGTTTTAGAAGACTTAGAAATAAAAATGTTTGCCAAGGAAAACCAAAGCAGTAACAGAGCAATCTTTTTTTATTAAAGCTCTTAAAAAAAAATCAATTTTTTTAATGGATGTATTGTTAGTTGCACTAGTGATGTAAAGAAACTACACATAATTTTTAAAACATTAATGTTAATTTAGTAAAAGATAAGAATAATAACAGTAGAAACAACTAAGTGAAATTAATGTTCTCAAAATCTGAACTGTTGTGCTTCAGAGTGCAACAAAGCTTCAAAGTCTATATATGCTTTGCTAGGATTGTGCTGTGTAGGCATTCAGTGAAGCTTTCTTGCTCTAGAAACTGGCAGAACAAGATTCTATGATACAGGTTTTGATATCCATTTTAGTGGGCTGTCTTTTCAAGCAAATCTTGCAAACTATCTTTTCCATTTCAGCAAGGCTGTTTACAATAATGTTAAGTTAAAAGAGCCTTATGTATAATACAGGCTTTTAATGTTTTAGGCTAACACTTTAATTAAAACACTGAGATTATTCTTTAAAAAAAAAAGTCCAAAACGAAACAAAAAACAAATCTGCATACTGTATGTGAAGGTTGTCTGGTTCTATTTTACAGTTTAATCTCTATTACTGTGATTGTTATTTTTGGTTCATCTCCAAGGAACATTAAAGCAGTTGTATCCCCCTGAATATAATTAGGTTACTGTTTCATGTTTGTAGGACAGTGTCTTAGACTTTTTAATAGCTCTATTGCTAGGTTTCAGTGTCTTGTTCCTGTCACCTTTCATTAGTGACCTGTGCAGTCAGATTCCCATTCTGTGTGTTAATTAAATAGTCAACATTCAATAACGTGCCACAGTATCATTTATTTATGTGGTTATATGGCTAATAGAGTTTAAAGAAAACATAATTGTGAAATCTGCATGTTCTCGTAAAACAGTCCATTTATGTCATGTAGCTTGAAATTCCCAGTGTGGGAATTACTGTTCTGGAATTTCATCCCTTCATAAGGTTGAAACAAATATTTGTTGGAACCAAGTATTAGGTACATAAGAGTAGCCTAAGATTGCCTTTAAGGCCCTGTGACCTTTTCTGTTTTGCTCTGGGTGTTTCTATATAGAAGCCACCATTGCCCTTTTTAGTTTCTGGTATTATTTTTTTCTGTTCAGGCAAAATTCTTGCTTAGGACTAGTGTAAAATCAGTAAAATATATTTATTTGGGATTAATTCTGTATAATGTCATATATATATATACAGTTAGACTGTAGCTCCCTTTATGATATGTCATGTCTTTGAAATTATTCCTTCATATTTTTCAAGCATTTTGGAATCTCCTTGTATTTGAGAGATTGCATTTAAAAAGTAGTAATATTTTGTGCAAAACTGCTTAGTAAGAAAGATAGCTGTTACATGCTCTTAGTCAATTTCAAGGCAGAAGCTTACCAAGTTCCAGATTTAAGAAGTAAAATCAGGTATGAGAAAATCTGATTTTATCCCACATATGAAGTTTATCAGCCTTCTGGATTTCTTTTCCAGACAAGAACGAATGGATCACCACCAGGCATCACGGCTCTGCTTCTGTAAATACTCCATTACCCTATATTAACAAAATTATTCATCACATTCAGGAGTTAGAATTGAAGATAGAGAATCACTTTCAACAGGTACATTTGTGATTAAAAATGGTCAAGTGCTTTTGAACTTTATAGGAACAAGTACATTTTTAAAAAGGATTCCTATGTTGATTTTTATAAAGATTTAATTTCATGTCATATGTACTATCCAAAATAGTGCCCAGGAGGTGCATTTACAACTCATGATACCTTTTTAATCTACTTAACAGTTTTAGCAAATCAAAGCGTTTTATTAAAGTCAATATACCGTAATATCATAATGTAATATCAATATATCATAAAGATAAGTAAATTCATATATGACAATTCAGATGCACAGACAGTCAAGTTGCTTCAATAATATCAATTGTCTACAAAATAGTTTTTGATGCAAATCTTGAGTAGATAGTCAAATTGAGCTGTGTGCCATTTTCTGTCATTTATAGTAAGCTTTATTTTCTTCCTGAACCGTACTTAACGATTCTTCTTTACTCTTGTATTAAGAGACATGAACTTGAAAATGCTGTAGCTCTTTCTTTAGCAGCACATGATGTTTCCCTAGCTTATATAGATTTTGTGTAAATAGAAACAAGAATAAAGGAAAGATTAAAAAAATTGGGTAAGTAGATTAAGAAAGAATGCAATATATACTAATTTAAAGTATAGTAATGTCTTCCCATTAACTTATTTGAGAACATAATTAGCATCATTTTAATAATTCACCTTTACAGGAGAAGTGTTTTCCGAGTCTTAATAAATTTTGCATGTATCTACACTGCAGTAAGCAGATCTCATCACTGCTTGTAGACAAGTTATATTTAAATAATTTATCTCCAGTACCGACAATAATGTTGTCATAGCAGCACATCAGAAAAACTATCTTAGATTAGTATTCCACAAACATTGTTAAATACTCTGCAGGGAGATTTCTGCAACTGCAGCATAGATGCTAGAAGAATCCAAGGTGCATAAACTAAAGACATATCTTGATTTACAGTCTAGACATTAATTTGATGGGAAATTTTACATTGCCTCATTCACCTTTATTTAAAATAATGTGAAACAGTGAAATGATTTTAATGTGATGATTTTGTCATCAGTATACGTGAATTAGATGGATAAGCATTGACATGTCCAGATGTTTATTCATTTCAATGTTAGCTTAAATTATTTCTGTAAATCTTGCACATATTTTCCACATCTCTTTTAAGGTGTTGTTACTTAATATACAGGGAATCAAAATAGTGTGAGGCCTCTAGATGGTGACGTCTTTATAACTATGAAATAAGAGGAGAAAAGGTGAAGTTGCCATAGTATGAATATTTCATTAATGCTCTTAAGCTAAATTAGGCATATATACTGAAATGAATATACTACAAATATATAGAATTTGGATTTCACTTGTCTATATCTGAATTTATTTACTCTGCTAGTAAGTTAAGTATTATCAGCAATGTGCCCAGTTGACATGGAAAACCTCATGTCCATACTCTTAAATTCTTACATGTCAAAACAGGATAGATGTTATGTGTACTGCTTCTGAGGAATGGTCTCTGACCCTTTCCAGTTCCTGAATTGTGTTTGGAAATGATTTGGAAATGTGGTAATTTCCTTTTTCACAGGTTGTACCAGTGAGATTTAGTACCAGTTTAACGGTGTAGGTGTTCAAGTTGCTGGGCCCAGAGAACTTCTCTGGCAGCGTTTGATTTACTGGTGTAGACATAGAAAAAAAAAAATATGAGAAGTTCAGGCAGAAACTCTGATGGAGTTTTAAGATTTAAAAAAAGTACAGAGGCTGAGTAAAAGTAGAATTAGCAGAGATTAAAAACTAAAGAGATTTTAAAAAATCTACAAAATTGAGTAATGTAACACCTATGTACAAAAACTGGGGTTTATTACCAGCCTTTTGGGGATACATAGCTTTTAGGAATTAGAAAGCATTATAATTAGCTTAAAATGTTAAAAAGCTTTGATCTGTATGTACCCTAATTAGATCCTCTTCTGATACAAAATTCAGTGGTCTTTTAGGCTTTTTGTCAGGAAATGGAAAAAGTGTGTAACATCTGAGATGTACAATGGAGTTTATGTTCTGCTTTTGCAGTATGATTATGTGTTTAAGGAGGAGAAAACACCATGGTAAGAAGCATACGTACAAAATCGTACAAAATAATGCATTTGTTTTAATGTCAGATGGTTATTTGATGAGAATTAGTCTGTTCGCTGTTACTAAGTTCTTGTGTAACATAGAATGCATCTAATATAAGCATTCCTAGTGTCTGTAGGATCTAGTTACTTCTAAACATCAAAAGTGTTTATGGGGAATTTCTCATGTCGTTCCTACTCAGTGTTTAATTTTCAAAGATTCAAGATGATCGCAGGTCTCAGGACCACCACAGTGATGAATTTCTGTTAATAAAAGTTGTTCAGTTATTCATACTTCTGAAATTGTACCCATTCTACCAGTTATCTGAGGTACCTAAATATGGGTAAGGGTATTGTTTTAAGCTCTTGTTGCTTGAAGTTTGGAACATGATGTATAAGCATACTGAATGTTTCTGTATACTTACTGTGATCTTTGTGAAGTTCTGTAAATATGGTGTGTAATTTTCTGAATTTGCATAAAGGGTCAAATTTACTCTCATTTCAGCTTGGCTAGACACAGAGACACAATAGTTATTTAAAAAGGGAGTAGAAAAAAGCTTGAATGAAGTGGCCATTAATTCATCAGATGCTATAATAAGATGGGGAAAAGATCCCAATTTTTTTTTTGTTTGTTTGTTTTTTCTTGCTTGGTTTTCCTATACTTCATACTGTTAAGATACTTATTATATAAATATTTTTTGTGCTTTCAGTGTAGTTTGACAGTTACTTAGCTTTAGTTAAAAAAACTGTGTTTAAGTGACAAAATTTCATTGAACCACCTGTAGTGTTTGTAACTATGTATCCTTATAGTCAGAGAGCAAGAGAAGATTCTTGTTAAAATCAAAACAGAACATACCAACTGCATTAAAAAATGATGAGTTGGAGGACTGGGTTTATTTTCTAGATTTTTTCACTGGAGATATCTAAATTATATATAATGAGTTTTTAAAGGTTATACATTTAAAATAGAATTTCAAAACATAAAACTCAAGGTATTTTTTTTCTAAATTTTACATATTGTCTGCATCTATTTCAAAACACACTAAAGAACTCAGACTAGTACACAATACAATACAATACATTTCAAAGCCAAGTACTCAGAAATTACGCAGAATAAGTCTGAATATGTGACTCCAAATTGTATCGTTCATGGTGCGGGGTACTTTATGATGTAGTTCTAGTTATAAAGATTAAAAGAGGAGTTTGAAGGGGAGTATATATCTCATGCACTGAGCTTGTTGTCCTGGCTGTTTTGATTTGGTTTTCCTACTTATCCAACTCCTGTTTATCAAACTTCTGCTTCTGTATCTAATTTGATATCTCTTCTGACACCAGGTCCCAGCTTTCCTGTCCAATGTCTTACTATTTTCTATGACTGCTCACAGATTTTTTTTCTATTCCCTGTACTTGAAATGTATTTTCTGTTGATGTAGGAAGGCTACAGTAGTATTTCTTTCAGTCTGCTTTTGACATAGTTTTTTGTCTGGTCCTCCTTATGGAAAAGGAACATTTTTGTGGAGTTCTTTCAAATATATGTGTTCACATTGTGCATCTATGTGCAATGTAATACTGTCACTTCAGATTTCATCTTAGCTGCATCTGAAGAACCTTTATGTGCTCCTTAAACTGCACATGTGGGCATGAACAGGTGGTGGTTATTCTTCTTCTCCTTGTTCTCAGCTCCAGTAAGCTAATGAGCCTTTCAAGTTCCCATGACAGCTATGATTTGCTTGTGTTCTTCTTTAGCTACTTGTGCTACTTCTTTCCCCCTTTCACTTGCGGGTTAAATTTGTCCTGATCTCATTTTAATGAAGCCTGCCTCATTTCTGCTTTTAAGCCTCTCAGATTTCAAATGCTTGTCTCTTGGAAACTGATTAAGCCTTACGCCTGGATTGTTTATCCTTCTTATGTCTAAAAGACATTTTTTCTTCATTGTTGTCCCTCAAGTGACACTCACAGATACAGTACTAAACGCATCTGCTCTTAGAAGAGTGGAAAGTATAACATATATGTATTCCATATGTGTATATATAACATATATATGTATAGCATATATAGATACTGTATGTATATAACTTGGAAAGAGTAACAGCTTTTCTGCAACAGTTTCTCTTTGGCAAATCCTTAGGTATGAGAACAAAAATTGAGGATCTGTGTAAGTACAAGATGTAAAGAAATCTGTTTCTTGTATTTCTGTAAAGAAATATCAGAAAAGCATTTTACGTGCCTTTTTTCTCATAGAATAATTCTTCTCCCTGACTTGAAATTATTTCATTTAACTAGCCAGCGCTTCATGTGTAAAATTCAGGAAAGGAAATTTTGACTTAGTGAAAGCAATATTTACTTAACAATGCTAATTTAAATTAAGTCTAAAATTTTTTAGTTACAGTGGCTTTTCTCTATAGGGTAACAAAACAAGCCAGTGCTGACACTACTGAAGATAACTGGTTATCATTATCCACCAAGTCGGATTTTAAAGAAGCTGATGTATCTTGTGAAGGTAAAAATATTTCATAATGCTCAGTCTGAGTTGTAACAGTTACTTATCCTCATTTAATATATGCTTTGCATTTGTAATAATAGGTGCTTGTTGCCTGCTCAAAGTCTTATGTAAATGATGTGAGTATCCTTTGAAATCTGTGTGTATCAGCTGTCAATCATCTGTCAAGTTAAAATGTTATAATAAGTACCATTAAATCATCCTGTTTGCAAGAAGATAATTTACATTTCTGTATTTAGATTCATACTGTATTTTAATCCATCTAGGTTTTGAACCAACTAAATTATTTATAGTGGTTGTTGGAAATTCTAGGTTTTTTTTTCCATTTAGATTTGTAAAACAAATAAGTGCTTTGCTGTCACAGGATAGTCATAATGTGTTCCCAGCATCAAGTTCTGTTTTTACAGTTTGCATCTTTACTCAGATTATACAATTTTTAATTAAGTTTTAAATATTCATGAAATCGTGGGCAATTTTTTTAAGCCAGTGAGCAACCTTTTAAGTGCTACTAGCCTGAGGCAATCCTGTCCACAGTAAACGGTGTGATAAAATTTCTGTTGATCACAGCGAAGCTACAATTTCACTCCAGGTTTTAAGTAATTTTTCTTCTTTTTGCAGTTTTTAATAAAAAAATTTAGGGAATTGTTGACTGTGGAATCAAAGTGGAAATGTCTTGGACTCTGTAGTTCATATAATTACTGTTTTTTATAGATCAGGACAACGGATGATGACCTCAAAAAAATCTTTTATCAAGGCAAATAACTGAGGCTTTTTTTTTATACCCAAATATCACAGAATGAAATTATTTCTATCATGAGTAAAACTGTGTTGTTGAGATATTATACTGAATATTCTTAGAACTCCAAAGACTTTAATGAAGTCATTGATACTTACTTAGGAAAATAAAATGAAATATGTATTCTTCAAAAAGTTGAGAGAATTAGGAACTTGTACTATTATTTAGATGATTACTTACCGAAACAATGAGGCAAAGATGAAAAACTTGTACCATCTATATGCACACATTTTTATACATTCTGCTTTGGAAATAAACCAGAGGAAAATGCTATTGGATGTGAAAGTTTTGTTTGTAACCAGTTGTGCTTGTCTTGATAGATGTGAAGAGGTTAGCTTTATGTTGAGAAAGAAGCAAGAATAAGCAGTGTATGTTTAAGCATTCATAAGAAATAATTGTAATGCAGTTTTTAAAGACATAAATATAACCAATTGTTCTTACTGCTATAGATGTGAACAGACCAACTCTGTGTTGAGAATGAAGCTTGAATAAAGGGCATATGATTAAGCTTTCATAAAAAATATTTTTAATGTATTTTTAAAGATGGCAAGGCATTAACCTTGCAGAAGGAAACAGAAGCTTTGCTATTGGATGTTATTCAGCTAATTAAGCGACTGGAGGCTGATCGTGAGGAGGCAGAAAAAGCTTTGGAGTTGGAAAAACAGCTAGGGAAAAGTTTAGCATGAAAATGGACTGCTTGTCACTTTGGAGGCTTCAGCAGCTCCCTGCAGCCGTGCAAAAATAAGAATATTTGTTATTTTTCAGTCAGTTTATTACCAAAAAGAAGAATTATGATATTACTAGAGTTGTGCTTACTGTAACACGAGTACAGTATTTGCTCTTCTGAATTTGCTTGAATAAACAGCTGGAAAAAAAAGAAAAGGAAAGTACTATGGAATATTCAGCATTGTTTTCGAAGTAGCAGAAGAGCAGACAAGACACTCTTAAGATGATAATAAATCATCTTTGGGGCAAGAAATGACAAGCTGAAAGAGAACTATAAAATAATGCATGTGAGCTAAGCCATAGATTAAAGCACAAGTAAAAAAAATAAATCTGTATTGAGAAAAATTAATGTGATAAATTTTAACAAAATACTTACATATTTAGTAGGAATTGTTTGACATAATCATTGATAGGTTTCCTTGAAATCCCAGATTCTAAGGATGGACTGGCATCTACAGAGTAGAACTAAAGAAAAAAAAATAAGTAAAAAGACCCCAAACCAGCTAGTTAGCAGGTGTGCATTGTTTGTTTTCTGACTCATGGTGAGAAGCAGGTACTGTCTGAACCTAGACTTCTAGATAAGTTGTGTAATTTATAATAGTGGGTTTCTGGATGTAAAATCACAGTTAGAAATCAAGCCCATATTCTAGTGCACATCATCCTGAGACCTTTGTCAAATACCTCACAATCCAGAGTGTAGTGGCAGTGCAGGAGTCCTCCATAACTGTTTACTGATCACTGTGTAACAAAGGCAATCCAGGAGTTGTTTGGTCCTAAATACTTTTTTTTTCCCTCTATCTCTCTGCCCTCCATCCGTACCCCTCATGGTCCCCCAGAAGGCAAAATATCTAATAGTGTACATCCCTAGCAATAGATGAGGAAAATATATGTTTGCTTGCTTATTTATTTTTAGCCAATGGCTAACTCTTGACTTGGAAACCAGAAACCTGTGCTTAAGGTGTTACCAGTTTGCAGATTGTTTTCCTTGAAAGAAATTGCCTCTGGAGGACAATTTATGATGAAACAGAGAAGGAGATTGAATAAAGAATCAGTATTAAAATTCATTGATAGGTCAGAAACTGCTTTCAGGAGAAAATCCTGTGGTGACTGAAAGATCAGTACTTCAGAAGAACTGCAAGTAGAGAAGGTTGATAGCCCAATCATTCTTCAGCGCAGTAGTTCAGGATTTGAGCTGCAGAGACGTTACTTTTTACTTTTTGGTGTACTTACCTAGAGTGGTGAAGCTGTAAAACATTTTTGCATATTGCTATACATTCCTGTTGCTTTTAGCTTATTGTTTAGCATTCTTCATAAATATAAAAAATTTGGAATACTGGAATATAACTAATATGCTTTCAGTTTTGTTGATATATGCAATGATACAGTATTCAAAATTAAAAAAATAAGGACAAAAAGCCATCATGAAGTGTGGCTCCGAAAATTAACCAACTATTCCCCCTTATCTATATCAGTACAATGTTGTGTTCTTGGAATAAATTCATACTTTTTAGGATTATAACTTTTCATAGTATAATCTATAAAACAAAAAATACGCTAAAATGGAATTTAAGATAAAGGGAAGAGAACTTCAGGGATGTTATAATTATCCCTAATCTAAATACTACAAGCCCAGAAGATTCTTAAGTAAGAGTTTGCTTGAGCCATTCAGAGTAGACACTGACTCCTATTTCTTCAAATTTCCCTTGATTTCTGCTATTGCTAACTCCTGCTGCATCTGTGTCCTGTATTATGTTCAGGTAATTGCAGTGACATAGCCTCTCTTCAGAAATTACCTTCTCTGAAATATAACAAAAATCCAGTGTAAACCACATATTACTAATCTCAATGTTAGGTATCACTTTGTGTGATGTCAAAAAGCCACTTAGTCATATGATGTCTTTTTAACTTTTAGTAGCAATAAAATAATTTTGTGAATTTGTGATTTATATCTTGTTAGCATAGCAAAATTTATCAGCTGTCAAGGGATTGCACTGAATATTCCATAGCAACTTCTCAGAGCTAGAGAGCCTTTTTTCTGAGTAAAACGCACTTCTCTCTCTCAAATCTATGACAAAGTTTATTGCTCTTGAGACACTTTCTGTTGGTTTGGTTTTGTTTTATTTTTGCTTTTCTTATCTGACAGTCTTACTTTACTTTTCCTAGTTTAATACCTGTAATTTTTCCATACAGAACATTATCTGCTGAGGACACCATCTCTCATAAGCTTTTTTTTTTTCCAAGCTAAATGAAATATGTGTTGTCATTCAGCAATCAGTGATCTACTTACATATTTTCTGGTAAAGACCTGTAGGAAATTTATGCAAGGTCAGAAAAGTAAATGCATCAAAATGAATTAAGACTGACATACTTCTGTGTTGCAACATGAATACGTTTTGTTTGTTGGCTTTGAGTTTGCACCTTTAGTTTAGCTTTCTTGAAGCTATGTTTAATTCAGGCAATGTCCCTGAACTGAAAATAGTTGTCGTATTAAGAGGATGTGGTATTTATACTTGCCCTGCTCTTCCTCTGTATCCTCGTCTGTTGCTGGAGACTAGGAAGCTCAGTAGAGCTGTTCTTGTTTTATAATAGCCTCCTCAAGATATGCCTTAAGGCTAGATGTTTTAATTTCCTTTGTAAAAACAAGGCCATCCCTTGCTTTGAAGATCTGCTTAAATTACCTACTAAGTTTATTAAGCATGAATTTAAAAACAGTTCCACTGCTAATGCAATATTTATACTTTTATATTTGATGTCTTTTGTAAACAATGTCCTCTTTTGGCTTTCAAAGTGATTTACAGCAAAATTTTGCAAGTATTATGACAATGTTTTTACTAATCTCACTAGGAATTTATTGTGTCACACAGTAACATTTTGTTATGCTAATTACCTTTTTAACAGAATATGATCCGTGTGCTGAAGATATCTTTGAGGTACAATGGCATCTCGATTGTAAAAGATATCAGCTGCAACAGATATAAAACCAAATACTTCCAATAGAAAGAGACAACAGAAAGATTCAGGAGGATATAGACTTGATGAAGAAACACAGCCATCTGCTGGAAGAAAAGCTGAATCTAGAGGGTGAAGCTGTGAAGGATATGTTACTGGTTTATGTAAAGGTAAATACAAACCTCAAGGAGATGTTTCTTTTAGAATCTTTTCACTACATATATGGAATGTAATTCTAACTTTGTAAGTTGATTTCATGTGGGGTTTTTCACAGAAAAGAAGGCACATATCTGATATTTGCATAGATTCTTCTCAGATTTCTTACAGACATCAGTGTTCCGGAATACTGAGATGTTAGAGGCTGCCAAAAAATATTAAATAAATGTAATTATTTTTAAGTGCTGATGTACATGTTTACTTATTTTTGATTGTACTTATTGATTGTAATAATTTGATAATTAATACCTAATGTGGATAATGTCAGGCTGAATAATCAAAGTGTATCAAAGTTATAAATACCTTAAAATTGATGTCTAAAAAGCAAGAGATACTGTGTTATTTCAAGTACACATTTTAGTACTAATTATTATGTTTTGTATATGTTTTCTTATAGTAACTTCTAAATACAGATCTAGAGATTAGTACCTTTTTCAAGGTAGATAAAGTCTAGAAATGGTCTTTGGGTGTTAAGTGATTTTAAATAAATATTGTTTATTTTACTTACTTTTATTTTAAACTCATATTTTGAGGCCTCAACAGTCATGTCAAAATACTTCTAAAATTAGAAAGTTAATTGCCTATTACACAAATAGTATGAGAATAACCATGAGTTAGGTATGACCTATGAAATATCTAACAGTTCTATCAGTGTTAGGAGATATGGTCAAAATAGTGGCTAATTATAATCAAGCTGGGGTTTGGGTGTCTAATCCTGTACTCTTTTTTCTTGACAGTGTCTCAGAGTATGATGTATGCAGCTAAAATATTGAGGAGTGCTAAAATACAACTCAGAAAGTAGACAATTTTTTTTTTTTATAAAACCTATTTTAAATACTTTGTTCCCCACAGGTTTTTTTTTTTAATCTTCCTTTTAAAAAAAGTGACACTACTTATTGCACGAAGATAGATTGGTGTTACTGTAACTTATTTATATAATCCATTTCAACAACATTTCAACATTTATGACTGTAAATTAAATTATTTATTCCTTTTATTGTGTTCTAATTTCTATGCTGTTTGTTACCAAGGTTTGTTTTTTCCTCCCATGGCCTTAAAAACAGCAGCTGATCCTTAGTTTTCCTTGCAATTAAAACAATTATTTGATTTTGAACCCCTAGCTTTTGATATCCAGAGAGCTAGTTTGAGCAGTGAGGTCCTAGATTATAATAAAGATTTTCTGTCATGTTACTATTTAATATATGTAATATTTTTAAAAAGCAGAGACAATAGACATGTTCATATCTCTATTTGAGAGTTGCTGGGAACTGAGTGTCCCAATACTATTTATACCACTGAAAATTGTGTTCATTGTCTGCACTGTCTGAAGCCCCTCTTTACATAGGTGACTTCTCTGGGAGCTGTTTAAGTAATGATTTTGTCAGATTACTGAATGAAATCTCAGTGGCTTCATTCAACATTATTTCTTTCTTTCTGCTCCAGAGGTCACTGTTTTCCTATGGAAGTAGCCACCTTTTCACAGTAACTTCAAAGTTTTGTAACCGAGTGAAAGACCTCTCGCTAATGTTTTCTTATGCTAGGCAATATTGCAACACACCCTGTTGTCTTCATCTAGGATTGTCTCTATTGCGGACAGTGCAAAATTTGTTGTTAAGTTGCATGACATCACAAAGTACTACTGCAACTTTAAACTTCAATTATCATGCTACAAATAATCAGATAAATCTTGAAATAACTTTTTATTTTAAACATTACAGACAATTTTTATATAACATCTTTCAGAAAACTTGTTTTATTTTCTTGGGCATCAAAATTATATAGTGATATTTGTTATGAACTCATGGAAATTCAAAAGACTGTGGAGGAAATTACTGAAGAATCTGAAAAGAAGATAATATCTATGTCTGAAGAAACTAAATGTGCTGAGATGCTATTGCATCAATGCAAGTAAGAGCTGTTAAGTATGATTTTATAAAGTCCTGTTAGTTTTAATGTTAACAAGGAAATGATAGAAAAATTGCTTTTAGAAATAATTATAAATTCTGGTTTATTTAATTATTTAAATCAATAAAATTATGCATAAAAGAAGTGTTTGCCTTGTTTGTCCTAGCTTCCATGAGCAGAACCATGACAATAAGGAAGGGGTGATGTCCAGAATTGCATCCAAATGGCAAGTTTGTGAATCAACTCCTTAAGCATATTTTACCTTATATTACTTACTTAGGAATTTTTAATCTGGCAGAACTTTTTGCTATCATTCTTATTGACTGCACAAATTACTTTCATTGAACATCAGCAGTTATCATGGTACTGTAGTTATAACTTAATTTTTAACTTGCATATTAAACAGAACAATCCTAGTCAACAACACATGCTTTCGAGCTTATCAAGCCAACAGACTTTCTATATCTTTATTGGATTGCAAGGCAGCTTCTGTATGGCAGTGTCTTATGTTGCAGTTTCCTCACTGTAACCTCTTGCCAGATTATTAACCCTTGAATTATCAAGTAGAGTTATAAGTAATTGTAAGCCACCACTAATAGCCAGTCACTGATAAGTCAACTCTCCATTGCTGAACATAGAGCCCAAGAATCTGCATGAAAAATAACTATGCCAAAGAACAAGAATACCAAGTACTTTCATGTTTGGTAGGAGGTTGTATTCAATTATGATTAGTTGCCAGGTTTTGTTTGGCAAAGTAGAAAGCAACACAGTGGCTCTTTTCCCCTTGAGATGAGGAAAGTTTACAGGCATAATTAAAAGACATGAGTAAAACTCTGATTTATTCCTTTTGTCAGCATGTCTGATTTTTTCCTTTTTTTGATTCTAACCTTTACAGTGAATTTCTTTGTGGTATCGTTATTGAGTTCAGGATAATTTTGTCACTAAATTAGAGGTATTTATGCTAGTTATATTTTATTACCTCCAAGATTAAAAATTCACAGTCAACATGCTGAGTTAACTAAAGCTTAACTTCTTTCATTTCAGAGCCAAGTTCACAATCTAGAAAGAATATTAGTATATGAAAATTAAAATTGTAGTAAAAAATATAGCTAAACCCCAGGTATTATATTATACAAAACCTGAGACCAGAATTCTTTAATACCAACACTTGTCTAAGGTGAGTGACACCTGGAAATTACCATATGATTCTCCAATTAAAATCACTAATGTATCTAAATAAAGGGAGATTTGTGTGAAGAGTAAAAGATAATTCTTACTTTTGATGGGTATGAGCCTGTGAGTGCAAGCTTCACAATGTCTTCACAATGTTTGGAAATTTAATCATGGCTTAAAGATTGATATAGAGATGATCTGATCAAATGCTCATTAGCTCTTCCATGGTTTCCAGCTGAGAGAAATCAGACAGCATGGACTGAGATTCTGTAATTGGTTAAGTTCATTGCAAACCTCATGTTGATTTTAATTATGGGAAATACCAGGTCTTGAGTAAGAAGTGTTACCAAAAATTCAATGTGATTAATTGCCGTGTATTCAGATACCCTGCAAATCAGTTTAGAGTTTCACTGGCTAGTGTTCTATCAAGTAGTCTGAATTACTAGCTGCTGGCCAAGAAGTATTGTCAATGGCTGGAGGTGTTTTTTAGTGTGTAATACCAGAATAAATAATGTTAAAAGTATGTTATTTCACTGTTCTTTCTTTATCTTTTACTATTCCAGCATATGTCTACTATTAGACTTTGTTCCTTATCAATTCATATTTACAAAGTGTGGTCAGCCGCAATTTATTATTGTCCACCTGCAGGCAAATTCCTGTAGTTTGGGAGTCTAAGCCTTAAGATGTATGCAATGATAAATATTGCTGTGTGTTGTGATCCTCCTTCACTAGCCTGTATTCTCTGTGACTTTGGATTTTCATTGTTCTTTGTTTCTGTCTGTTTTCCAAAGCAAAATCCATTATTTTCAATGTGCTTTCAGAAGACGTGTATTTTATGACTCCTTTTCAATTCTGTGATATACTTTTGTGAAATGCATTTAACGGTAATGCAGGCAGTATTCCAAATTAAGCCATGTCAATGACTATAACAGGGATGACTTACACTTATTTTTTATTCTAATGCTTTGCAGCCTATTTTTTACTTAATCCAACACCTTCTCAGCTTCTTTAGCTGTGAGAAATGTTGATTAGACTTTCCAAATGTTTGTGGAAATATGTACATGTCTTTCTTGATTTTATACAGGTAATTCAGAATTTTAAGGTGCACTTCATCTCTCTGACCTTGTACTTCTTTTGAGTTCAGACATTAAGTGGTACTTTTGTTCTCCAGTTACTTAGCTTGTCTTGAAATTTTTTTGCAGTTTCTTAGTTCTTTTTGGCCTTACCTGTTGTAATCACATTATATGCAGGCTTTTAATTTTACTGCTTCTTGCCCTTTCAGATCATTTGTAAATATATCAAAGCAACAGACAGAGGATTTTGAGATACTATGCTGTTGACCTATTCTTTCAATGAATGTTGATTGTTTAATCTTCTGAATTTTTTCATTAGTGTTAGAATTTTTCATCTTGCCTTTTGACTACTTCACTTTTTAATAGTTTTTTATGCAGGATTTTGTTCAGTTCCCTATAGAATTCTGACACCGTGTCACAGACAGTGGCATAATGCTTAGCAGTTGTAGGGCAGTGTGAGCACTTTTCATGGGGGTAGTCTTGGTGGAAATCAAGGTTCTTGGGATTGTTTCATATTCAAGAAAGTGGAGTGTTTTCCTGTAATGTGCCTTTGTTTTGAGGTGCATTAAAATTGCTCTAAAGGAGCTCTTTGTACTTTTGGAAAAAGTCATAAAGAAAATCCCTGTGATAGCAACAATAGGTAACTAATACTGGAAATTCATTATCTATACTGATAGAAATACACAAAGTACATTTTTTTGTTCCACCTAGTTAATTGATTTCCTATTCATATCACTTGACAGTGGTATAGACTGTTACACATCTTGTAACCTGTTTTGTTTGTGTAAATGTGAATTAAACTTAAAATGCTAATGACAGTGGTGCTTTTAGGAATAGCAGCCTTTACAGGAAAACACTGAGTAGAAGACGGTTTTTCTGTCCTTCAGCAGGCCTACTGTTTCTTCCCCCTCAGCCATTTGCTAGACTGGTAATAAGTCATACATTACAGAGGATGTAGACCCTTCAGCTGCCATCTGAGAAGGACTAGAATAACATGCGGTATTGATAGGAGTGATAAAGACAGATTTGTGATGGCACAGACTTGGAAGACTGTTCTGCAGTTGATACTCTTTTCTTTATATTCAGTGCCATCCGTGAGAAAAAAGATGAAGATTGCACGAAACTTAAAATACCGGGGCTGGGTAAATCACACAGCACAGACTGTTAATTTTACACATACTTGCTGTGGCTGCTAGTACTGTATTTTCCATGAGATTGTGCACAGAAAGTTGTATCTGACAGGTAATACGAGAAAAAAAATTGCAGTCTCTGTTACGTGTCTGTCATCAGAATAGTTCCAAGTATCTTTCTTTTTTTTTTTCCATGTGTGATGGGACATAAGAAGGTAGAAGTCTTCAAAGTCTTAGGTTTCACACTTACGTTATATACATTCTGTGACATTTGGAGTGTGACTTTGCAAGGTAAATCTTTACTACATCACTAAATGAAATCCTGGAAGCAAATAAGGGAAGAATGTCTATCAAATAATCTTGGAGGAGTGGCTCTTGAATTAGTGATGAAGTCCTTTCATTATGGTTTTTGGGTGTCTTACTGTGTTAAGGTATGCAACAGTTGTTCAGGAGGTCTTTTGGGTTATGATGCAATAGATGTCTCTGAAACTCAACTACTGTTGGTCTTAGTTCTGCTGCAGTGGATTTATTTTGCCATTTAAGGCATGCTTTGGAATATGTTATTGACAAAGATGGTTCTCTGGGGAGCATGAAGGGAACTCCTCTTTTCTGCCTTCTGAAACAATAACAAAAATAATGTTAAAGCACCAAGAGTCATTATAAAACCTGATGCGCCTTTATCTCTTTTGCCTTTCACCAAATCCATGGCTGTAACAAAAGGCCTGTGCACAGCCTAGAATGAGGCCTAACAGCGTATCATAGAAGTGTTTTCAGGACTACTGTTTTAGTTAATATTGGTCCTTTCAGTAATTATGGACAATTTTCCTTCTCATAATGCTGATAAATCTGTTACTTAGAGTGAAAGTCCTTATCCCCTCCTATGACCTTGCTTACAGTCTGCAGGTTCCTCTAACATGAGGAATTCATGTCAGTAAAAAATTTCTCCACGCCTGACATTTGTCCACAAAGTGACAGTGCAGTGGATTAAGTGAAGGTGGCTCTCAAGCAGATTTAGCCACCAGCAGAGAAAGAAGTTCACTGCTACTTTTTTTTTATTAGCATGTGACGTATGAAATAAAAGTCTTGCGTTTAGATGTACAGATACCTGCTCAGAGGTCAAATTAGAAGCTGTAATGTTGGCAGGCAGCTTTAAATCCAAGTAAACTGGTAGCGTGAGTAATTTTGATATCTGGCTGAGATTACATGAGTCTGCCAGGCTAGATATTTTGAAATTCTCTCATGCATACCTGTTCAAGAAATGTAGTAGAGAACCAAAATAAATCTTTACTAATTCAGATCTGCTTTACATTTTCCTTTATGGAGAGGGACTGCCTTGGAGTACTTCCAAATAGATGGATTCACTTTATGTGTATTTCTATTAGGAATGAGTTAAAGCAGTCTGAATTTATTTGGACCGAATACTGTATGAAGTTAAAAGAAACAGAGGAGAAGATTATAAAGGATGAAAAACACCTTGAGGAGTTAGTGAAGCAAAAAGCAGAAATCCAGGAAGATGCAGAATATTGGAACAGCAAAGTGAGTCTTGAATATTTATAAACAAGCAACTAAATGAGTATCTTTTACTGAAAAGTACATGAATGCCTGAATATTTTGTATGTTTAAGAGTTAAGGTCCTCTGTAAAAGTAAAAATACAAATACAGATTTTAAAATAAGAAGTGGTAGATTCTGTAGAACTCTCATATTCATTATTTTGTTGTAATATTATTTTTCAGCTCTAATTATTAAAAATTTCATAAACATCTTATATTCTTTTAATTGACCTGGATATTTTTAGGTTTTGGGTGCATATCTGCTTCATATTTCTTATCTTCTTTAACCATCTGGAAGAAAGTGCAGACAGCATAAGTTTCCTCTTGAATTAGTAGATTTTTTGACCTGAGATGGCACATGATGCACTTTTACAACATACATAGTGATACCCTATTTAACTAAAAATTCCCCTGTTTTCTGCTATATTTGTCTAGCATTCATTTTGAAATATTCAGCAGTTTAAAATCTGAACTGGAGTCCCTCACTGTGTCTGACTAGGAGGTTTTGTTTATTAATAGCTTCATATGTGGAACCAGTAGAAAAAGCCTAAAACAGGATTCAGATGACCACAACAGAACTTGTTATATTTTTTATATCTATGTGTATATGTGTGTATGTATACAAGTATAAATAAAGTATGACATCCATTCTCTTGTACATGCCCAGTCCTGCTGTGGTTTGAGCATCTAGATAGCTAGGTCCTGCCAAGGATCCAATGGAATCCAGAATCCAGATAGAGTATTCTTGAGAAGCTGGATCTACCAAGCATGCCCAGAACTTAACGAGAATTGTGAAGCACACCCCCGACCAAAGTAAAGATACAGTCATATTAGACACCCATGAATGGGCATCTTCTTGCCTTTTGTTTCCAGCTATCACAATTTCCTTCCTGTTACTGTACTTGCACCAGCAATTGCTACCATCTGATATCTAGAAAACTACTGTTTTCAAATAGACACAGTACTTATTTTTCTTAATGTTTTCTTTCTGAATGTTTCCAGCTGGGTTTGCTGACCCAATAAATTCCAGTAAATCCTACTTGTGTATTAAGACCAACACCAAGGAAAGAGAGAAATACGCAACAGGGGTTAGGTGAAGAATGAAACTGCTCCATTCGGTGACCACCTTTGTTTGCTAAAGGTGAGCCAGAGTTAAGTTTAGCACAAAGCTCATCAAAAACAACTAACTGGCTAATCTTTATACATAGTAATGGATATTCAGAAATCTCAACGTGATTCTTTTGCTCATCATAGAATATTACTGGGATAATGGAGTTACTATGGAAATCAGGAAAACATTGGGAGTATTTTCATTGACTTCAGAGGGGTTTGAATTGGATCCAAATTATAACATGGCAACTGTCATGTACATCAACGAGTGTGAAGAAGAATTAATGATGTGAGCTAGTATATTCCTGCATTCTTTTCCCCTGGCTTTTTTATTTCTTGTTTTAATTGATGCTGTTTTTTGAATTTCATACAACTTTGTTTCATACAACTTTGTTACAACTTTGGACACTGTAAGGACAAGTCAGAAAGTATCGCATGAAATCTGCTCTTCATCAGATTCTTGAGGTAGCAGTAGGAAACTACATGCCATTTAAAGTACCTGTGTTCTAATTCTGTCCTGATCTTCCCACATTTGTACTCTAACATCCTTATCAACCCTTATCCTGCTTGGACTTTTTTGTTGTCTGGTCGTATTTGAGTTATACCTTTATCTCTACGGCAATTGTATAGGTAAATTGCCAGGATAGCTGTATTGTTTCAGCCTCTGCAGAGGAAGGAAAGGTGAAGGAAACAAAGCTCATTAGTCTCAATGTAAGCAGGTGTTCCCTATAGCTAGCTAAAGCCACTGTAGATGTTTTCCTTTTCCTGAAGGTGCTTGCTTCCCTCACATCCAAATTTTCCCTTGAGATCCAGTGATTGATCCTTGAATCTCTTCATGAATCTGTATTAATATCTTGATACCTAGAGAAACTAAAGTTATGTTTGATTATACCACATACATCATGTATGAATTAGGAGGCTGTGTGTGCTTACAGATACTGCGAAGTCTAAACGTTTTGCAAGGGCACATTGCAAATGACAACATGCGTGTGAATACTATAGCATTAAGTATCCCTAATACTCTTTAATAGCCTTCCTTTGAAATCTGTTTTTTAAATATATTAATTATTAGTAAGAAATGCAGGAAATATTTGTATTACTTTACGAAATATTTTCTAGATAGAAGATTTGAATAATAAAATGGCTGCCCAAGGAGATGAAAGTATAAAAATATCAGACACTTCTTCTAAAGTAGTTAAAGCTGTGGAAGAATTAGTAAGTTCATTATTCTTTTTGTATAAATGAAATAACAATGCTTGCATATTTGTATCTTCTGTGTTAGCCTGAAAAAATTTCAACTTGTTTTAAAGGTTTCTTAATATTTTAATGTTCATTAGAAATCCACTGAGGAAAGGGATCTACTGGATATAAAGCAAAATGTTCTCAATATTAATGAAGCATTGGACAGTTTGAAATGTGAAATGAAGAACTTGAGTGAGAAAATAGTTATCACAACTAATTGGAAATAGGTAATCTATATAAATATAGAAAGCAAGCTTATTTTTTCACTGAAAACATGCTTATGAAAGTGAAACTTACATTTATTTTAAGTCTATAATTAAGCATTTCAAGGATTTCATATAACTTCAGGCTGAAATTTATCATCTAACTTTTCTGAATTTCACTTGAAAGAAAAATAACATTCTATAAAAAGCAAAATGCATACATTGACAACTAAAATAAAACAGACCCCCAAAATTCCATACAATAGGTGTGGGAAAAGAGAGGGGGTAAAAAGATGACATGATGATGTATTAAAAGTTCTTAATTAGGGAGAACTGCATGTGTCATGAAGTATGTGATTTTTAAGCATTCCACATGTCAAATTTGCAGTGTTTTAACAGTCCTTTGTATTTAAAGACTGTGTAAAACAGTAATTGTCTGTGCAGCACTGTGCACGCAGGGACAGCCCAAGGTGATTTGGTTGCTTGAATCTCAGACAGAAGCACCAGTGGTGTAGTGGTATCATGCAAGATTCCCATTCTTGCGACCCGGGTTCGATTCCCGGCTGGTGCAGAAATCAAAGTATACCTGCATTTCCTGTGCAGAGTGACTACAGCAGCACAGCTTTTAAGTAATCAAATCACTCTGAGGTGCACCAGACACCTATGAATAAGCTTTTGCAGACATGATTGCTGTTCTTTCATGTTGAGCTCAGTTTATTAGGGCTATTACAGTTTTTTGCAATATCTGTGAAAAATAATAGAATCATACAATAGACCTATTTGCTTGTGAATTTAAGGTAAGGTAAATTATGTTTCCTTCATTTAACAAAGAAAATTACACTGTGTATTGGGGAATAACTTCATGAAATATAACAAGGGAAAGTGTAGAGTCCTGCATCTGGGCAGGAAAAACCCCAGGTTCCAGTATAGGTTAGGGAACGACCTGTTAGAGAGCAGTGTAGGGGAGAGGGACCTCGGGGTCCTAGTGGACGACAGGATGACCATGAGCCGACACTGTGCCCTTGTGGCCAAGAAGGCCAATGGCATCCTGGGTTGTATTAGAAGGGGGGTGGTTAGTAGGTCGACAGAGGTCCTCCTTCCCCTCTACTCTGCCCTGGTGAGACCTCATCTGGAATATTGTGTCCAGTTCTGGGCCCCTCAGTTCAAGAAGGACAGGGACCTGCTGGAGAGAGTCCAGCGCAGGGCAACTAAGATGATTAAGGGAGTGGAGCATCTCCCTTATGAGGAAAGACTGAGGGAGCTGGGTCTCTATAGTTTGGAGGAGACTGAGGGGTGACCTTATTAGCGTATATAAATATATAAAGGGGGAGTGTCACGAGGATGGAGCCAGGCTCTTCTCAGTGGCAAACAATGAAAGGACAAGGGGAAATGGGTACAAACTGGAACACAAGAGGTTCCACTTAAACCTGAGAAGAAACTTCTTCTCAGTGAGGGTGACAGAACACTGGAACAGGCTGCCCAGGGAGGTTGTGGAGTCTCCTTCTCTGGAGACATTCAAAACCCGCCTGGACACGTTCCTGTGTAACCTTATCTAGGTGTCCTGCTCCGGCAGGGGGACTAGACTAGATGATCTTTTGAGGTCCCTTCCAATCTCTAGCATACTGTGATATTAAAATAAGAGAAATATTCTGGCCACTGATTCAGCTAAGAAAATGTGTGAACAGTGCCAGCCTGTTGTGGGTTTGCAGATTAATTATTGGAAACAGTGCTGTATATCTTGTGAAGAACCTTACAGTACCATTTAGATTTATCATTCCAATTCATCAGGTACTCAGTGGTAATAAGAATTTTTCAGTAATCCCATCCTTCTACAAAGAAAAGTTCCCTTGAAGAATATTGTTTCAAACATACAAAGGTTATATTCTGTCAGTCAAAGCTATATCAGTGTTTACCTGTAGGTTTTCTGTATTTGATTCAGTTTGGTTTTTGCTGTGTAATCTGACAGTCTAATCAAATGGTATTTTAAGTTTACTTCCACTAAAAGTCTTTTTGTATATGAATAAATTGGTTTATATGATCTAAGAATTCTGCAAATAGCAAAATACTTAGGATTTTTTTTCATTTGGCTGTATGACTAACCTGTACCACTGCACTGATATGAAGTACCCTAGACATTGTCATTTATTATAAAATAGATTAGAAGATCTTTGCCCAATTTCAACACTTACAGATTAAAGGGCTGTTCTTGCCACTTTCTTCTCATCCAAAATTGGCAGTTTTATACTATGTTTTGGAAGGAGGACCCAAGAAAGCTCTTTGATATTCAAGGATCACCTCCTTCAAGCTCAAGAGCAGTCCATTCCAATGAGTAGGAAGTCAGGAAAAATGCCAGGATGCTTGCATGGATGAACAAGTTGCTACTAGCAAAACTCAGACATAAAAAGGAAGCATCGAGTGGGAGGAAGCAGGGAGAGGCAACTTAGGAGGAATACAGAGACACTGAGATACAGAGATGGAATTAAGAAGGCCAAAGCTCAAATGGAATTGACCTGGCAACAGATATCAAAAGCAACAAAAAGGGCTTCTGTAACTGCATCAATCACAAAAGGAAGACTATAGACAACGTGAGCCTGTTGCTGAAGGAGGCATAGAACCTGATGACATAGGACATGGAAAAGGATGAAATACTGAATACCTTCTTTACTTAAGTCTTTATTACCAAGGGCCAGTCTTCAGGAATCCCAGGTCCCAGAGATGGGGAGGAAAGGCTGGAACAAGGAAGCCATACTGTTTATGGAAGAGGGTCAGGTCAGGGAATACTTAACCAAACTGGATATACATAAGTCCATGGGCCTTGATGGGATGCAGCCACGGGCACTGAGGGACCTGACAGATGTCATTGTGAGGTCACTCTCTATAACGAGTGACTAGAAGTGTCTGAGAAATGGAGGAAAGTAAATGTCACTTTCATGTTCAAGAAAGGCAAGACGGAGGACCCAAGGAACTGCAGGCTAGTCAGCCTCACCTCAGTCCCTGGGAAGGTGATGGAGAAGATAATCCTGGAAACCATTTTCCAGGCACATTTCACAAGGACAAGAAAGTCATTGGGTTTAGTCAGCATGGATTCACCAAAGGGACTTCATGCTTGACCTGGCGGATACCTTCTATGGTGAAATTACTGATCTGATAGACAAGGGGAGAGCCCTGTATATTGTCTACCTGAACTTCAGTAAGACTTATGACACTGTCTACCATTAAGATCCTCATAGATAAGCAGTTGATGTATGGGCTGAATGAGTTGACAGTAGAGTGTACTGAAAACTGCCTCAGTGGCCGTGGCCAAGGCCAAAGGGTGGTGCTCAGTGGCACAAAGTAAAGTTGGAGGCCAGTAACTAGAAGTGTACCCCAGGGATCCAGTCCTGTTTAATTTCATTGATGGTCTAGATGATGGGGCAGAGTGTACCTGCAGGAAGTTTGCTGATGATACCAAACTGGGAGGAGTGGCTGATGCACTGGAGGACCACGCTGCCATCCAGAGAGACCTCAGCAGGCTGCAGAAATGGGGTGAAAGGCACCTCAAGAAGTTCAACAAGGAGGAGTGCAAAGCCCTGCCATGGGGAAGAACAACTCCATGCACCAGTACATTCTGTGGGCCACCCAGCTTGAAAGCAGCTTGTTAGAAAAGGCCTTGGAGGTCCTGGTGGACACCAAGTTGAACATGAGACAGCAATATGGCACTGCTGCAAAGAAGGCAGATGGCATCAGGAACAATGTTGCCAGCAGGTCAAGGGAGGTGATTCTTCCCCTCTACTCAGTACTGGCGGGGCCACACCTGGAGTACTGGGCTCCCCAGTGCAACAGATACATGGATGTGCTGAAGAGAGTCTGACAAAGGGTGATGAAGATGATGAAGGATCTGGAGCATCTGTCACATGAGGGAAGTCTGAGAGAGCTATAACTAGTCAGCCTGGAAAATAGAGGGGACAGGGAAGATCTTATTAATGTATATAAATTCTATGTATATCTGCATTCTGTGATTCTATGACTCTATAGTGAAAGAAAGGTGCAAAGGGGATGGAGCCATGTTCTTTTAAGTGGTGTCCACTAACAGAACCAGAGGCAATGGGCAAAAAACGAAACATGGAAGGTTCTGTATGAGCATCAGGAAACACTTTTTCGCTGTGAAGGTGACAGAGCATTGACAAGTTGCTGATGTAGGCTCTAGATTGCTCATCCTTGGAGATACTCAAAAGCCATCTGGATGTGGTCCTGGTCAACTGTCTGTAGGTGGCCTTGCTTGAGCACGGTAATTGGACCAGATGACCTCCAGAAGTTCCTTCCAACCTCAGCCATTCTGTGACTCTATGATGCAGGTTAACAGTATAGATATACAGGAAAACAAGTTTTTTCATATATCAGCTATCTGCCTTAGACTCATGAATAAAAAGACTAATGTTTTGAGGTAGAGCCTGGTGTATTCAGCATGAAATAGGCTAATAAAATACTGCTTTGGATTTTAAAATGGTTTAGCTTTAACTATTAAAAAATGGGGTTTAATTTTATTTTAATCAATATACTTTATACAATGAAATGTAATGTTGTCCATTTTGTTTCAACAGTTCAACAAGAAAGAAAGGACATGAGTCAGAAATCGAATCTGCAAAAACATAAGACTGAACAGCAACTAGAAAGACTTAATGAAGATATCTGTAATGATGAATTGTACTACAGTGAAACAAAAAAAAAAAGTATGAGGAACTAAAAACCCCAAAATTGCAGAAGAAATCTCTTTCAAGGTTTATTTTTAATTAAATTCATTTTTTAGAGTGAAACAATTGAAAATAATGATCTCTGTATCAGAATTATTGGGCAAACAATCTAATATAAAAAGATATAATTTATAACGTATGATTTTAACTGTGCATTTTAAAACACTTGAAAAGTAACAAATAACAGTAGCCTCCAGAATAGAAAATGGATTAGTTAGTAAATGGTCACAGATAATGGCAGTTCACAGGTCACAATAAAGGACAGGGAGTGAGGCAGGGATGTCTCATTCCCAGGAAATTAATTAAGGAGTTGTTCGTACAACACTTTATCATTCAGGAGTCCAGGGAGAATGAATCACCCAGATATCTCTTCTCCACATACTTCTTAAATCCTTCAGAAAACTGATGAATTTTCAAGCACTACTTCCCAGTGATGCTGATTCCTCTCCTATGCATCAAAATTTCCATGTGTCAGCTAAATATTTTTTTTCGTTATAATTCATATTATGAGTTTGCTTCTTAGTGACTTGCAGGTTTTATTTGCTTTGGAATTTGGGCTTTTGCCCCCTATCATTCTGTTTTCTAAGTGATTCGTGTTAAATTTGTCTTCAAGTGTTTATGATCTTCTGTTGGCTTTACATTGTGTCTAGCAGGCTTCCTGTCACATGTGTTTGGAAAAGGGCTTGATTTATGTTCCTTGCAGGATTTTCCAGAACTCCTATTTAGTTTGCCTGATAGCATTTTTAGATTTTGATACGCAAGGTTCAGGATCTTTTCTCTTTTGGTTTTTTTAGATATAATTTCAAATTTTTACCTTGATGTTAATAGCTTATCTTCTGTTTATTGCTGTTGATTTTATTTTTGATATTTCCAAATTATCTGTCAAAACTTGGCTTGCATGTACGTTAGGCCTCCAATATGACACCTGTAAGTAATCTCCCTCTAGCTTGCAAGTGTTTTGGTTTTTTAGCTGTACCTCATAAGGTTTTTAAAAAACTCCTCTAATTTTTATAAAAAATATTTTTTTTTACTGCATTTTAAAATGACTACATTTTTACATTTGGCTACATACACTTTTTGTGGCTCTGCTGTTTCTTAAGCTCTTTTCTCATGTCATAGCTAGTGTTAATATCCCAGGAATGTAGTCAGTCAGAAATGTACCTCAAAGCCATGCATTTATGGTTAGAAATGGAATTTCATTCTGAAGGTATTCTGGTTCACTTGTTGGTAGAATTTAACTTCTACATGAAGCCATTACTGGTGGTCCTGCCTTCAATGACGATTGCTTTCTAACACCACTCAAGTTGATTGAGTGACCTTATTAAGTAATACCTCCATTACTTCCACTTCCAAAATAACCATTCTGTCAACAATTTTAGGTTACCATTGCTATATTGGGCCTTAGTTACCATAAATTAGCAAAAGCATTGCATTTATAATGATTTAAAGCATATATACTCACATGAAGACATACACAGGGACTGTGAGCAGGTACACAGAAGGTAAAATATTTCTCTACCTAAGCAACAGTTGAATACTGATGAATTTTGAATACGATCATACAAATGAAGGTGAAATTTATAGTTGAATGCCTGGTCTTTGCTGATATTCTGTGATTTGCTGATATTTCTGATTTGCTGATATTCTGTGAGAGCAATTACCCCCTAGCGTGTCTGAGTAACGTGTCTGTCTGTAACCATCAGTTAAACTGTATCCTTGGGCTACTGAATAGACTGAAAAATATATTTGTGCAATCTCCAAGTGTTAACATTAGTCATTCAAAATGCTGCTGCATTTTGGAGAGGAGTCCAGATGCCACGGTTTGCCTAATAGACTCAGGATTTGGATTGAGTTACACTATATGCGTATGTGGGTAAGGAGATGTGAGGGCGGGGGCAGGGCCACGGACATAAATTGTTGCTTGGAGTTATCCTTGGAGCCAATGTATAAACTTTTGTTTGATAAAAAGGCTGTTACTCACTGATTATAGGGTGTCTTTTCCACATAAACACTGATCTGCATTACTTCTATTTCCTTGAAGTTCTTAATAATCTTTGGCATTTGCGGTTTGAGAATATATGGGGATGTCTGGCACCTGTTTTTGTATTTTCTTATGTATGTGACATCTGGGAGATGTTTATGACCTTGTTATGCAGAAACTTCCACCTCCAAGTGCTGATGGCATGTGCATTTCCAAAGAGCAGATATGGATGTGAATAAAACATCTTGAATAAATGTGTTTCAATATTAATGTTGATTGAGTCAATTTCTTACTTTGTTTTTGGCCGTATTGTGCCTAGTTTTGCTTAAATAATCTGTTTTCTGTTCCCTAAATTCAATTAAAAAAGGAAAGAGACCCAATTACGGTTTGAATTAAATTGTAATAAGGTACAGTTATGATGGATTGCTAATCTGACACACATTCAGGTTATGTATTTATCAAAGATTAGCAAGGTGCAAACTATAATGATGTAACACATAACTGTTATCCTAGAAGTGATATGAGTAGGATGGTCATATAAAGAAAGGCTAAAACATGTTCATTTTTTTTACTTGAAATTGCAAAAAAAAGTCTCATCATGTAAAATATAGAAGGCACTAAGATTTTAAAACTTTGGATGTTCGATATTCAATATCCATTCAGGTAAGCCAGAACAACTTCTCAATGTCTTTAATTATTTTACACTCCCCAAAATCAATCACATTAAATCTAAAAAAGTAATAAACTTTTAAATTATAGTATGGTCTATATTTATTTACCTCTTATTCCTGAGACTCTTCCTTTTTAAGTATAGTTTTATACTTGGAAAAAACATTGTAAAGCTGTGCTCCTTTTTAGTGTGATATTAGTGTTAAATTTCTATTGCTGTGGTCTATTAACTTGTTTCCTTATGTTTTTTCCCCCCTAAGAATTCGGAGTTGGATCTTAAAAAAGAAATTCAAGCTCAAAAAGGAGTTTGGAAAGCAATCCAAGTAAACATGATAGTAACCATTTTACTTGTCTCAATTCTTCTATCTATCTTCTTTCCATTGCTACCATGAATTAACTTTGAGAACCTTGTGACAAGCTCACGTAGAAGGCTAATGAGTTTTGCTAAGTAACAACGCCTGATGTTTAACAATTAGGAAAATTTAAATACTTATGAAAACATGAAACACTTTATTTGTATCCTAGTTATTCACAATAATTTCCAGTTTGCTGTATAAGATAAAAACCCTTTAGTAATAATCAGTATATACTACATTATCATTTGAATTTGTGTTTCTTTCTTCAGTTTCTGTAGAAACTGCAATTAGACCCTTACCATATTACCACTGCAATATATTGATACATGCATATATAAAATAGGCAACCCTAATGCCACTTATTTTCTTCTAATGTGAAACTGCTAAATTCACACAACACACTTTGGTATTCCTTTTATGATTGTGAAACGTAGCTCTTTTCTTCTAGATTTCAGTGATGCTTTTTAGCTGTCCTCAGGCAAATGTTGCTATCTATTCAGCTTCTCTGACTGAAATTCCAAGTTTGGCATTGTCGTGGTTTAACCCCAGCCAGACAGCTTTTCACTCACTCCCCACCTTCTTGCCCTCCCCCTACTCCTGGAGGGACGGAGAGGAGAATCAGAAAGAATGCAACTCCCACGGGTTGAGATAAGAACAGTTTGGTAACTAAGGTATAACACAAATCACTACTGCTACCACCAATGGTAATAAGCATAAAGGAAATAACAAGGGGAGAGAATGCAACACCTCATCACCAGGCGACCGATAACTCGCCCCCCCAGCCCGACCAAGCACCGACCGATACCTCCTCCAACCCTGCAGTCCCCTTAGCCCTTCTGGGTCACTCCCAGTTACCTCCTGGGCATGACGTGCTGTGGTATGGAATACCTCTTTGGTCAGTTCGGGTCAGTTGTCCTGTCTCTGCTTCCTCCCAGCTTCCCCTCCTCCCTGGCAGAGCATGAGGCTCACAAAGTCCTTGGCCAAACCAAAACATCAATTTTTCAGCTCTGTTCCCAGCCTGAAAGTCAAAACACAGCACTGCACCAGCTACCAAGAAAAAGAAAAATGACTGCCACTGCTAAACCCAGGACAGGCACCACCAAAACAAATATCCTATCTATATCCATCCTTTGGCAGAAGGATACCATCAGTTGTCTTCTGCAAGATCAGGGATACTAGTCATATTCAAACTGTTGTAATAACTCCAAGGTCTTAAAGCCTCAAGCATTGAGTAGAAGCTCCAGGACTGTTTTCTGAAGAAGTCCTTAATCTCTGCATTCAGTGTCACCAGCTAGACATAGGAGGTCTTTAAATGAGGTTGTTAGAAGCAAACTCTGGCTTCTGTCTATGCAGCAACTTTCCAGATATTGCTCCTTCAGTCTCAGTGGTGCCAGAAAATCAAAGCCAATGTTTCCTTGAAAGTTTCAGTCCAATAGCACAGAAACTTTTATCATACAAAAGACCTGGTGTGGTGGGGTTGAAGCTGGCTGGATGCCAGGTGCCCACTGAAGCTGCTCTATCATTCCCCTCCTCACCTGGACAGGAGAGAGAAAATACGATGAAAGGCTTATGGGTCAAGATACGGACAGTGAGAGATCACTCACCAATTACTGTCACGGCAAAAAAGACTCGACTTGGGGAAATAAGTTTAATTTGTTGCCAATCAAGTCAGAGTAGGATAATGAGAAAAAAAAAAACAAATCTTAGAAACACCTTCCTGCCACCCCTCCCTTCTTGGGCTCAACTTTAAATTTTATCTATCTCCTTCCCATCGCACCCCAGCAGCACAGGGGTATGAGGAATGAGGGTTGCAGTCAGTTTATCACACATTGTGTCCGCTGCTCCTTTCTCCTCAAGGGGAGGATATAGCCAGAACTGCAGGGAGGCATTGCAGTCTTTTACTGCAAGTCCTTGAGTCAGAAACCACCTCTGGCTCCTTCTGCAGTGGTCTTAGATAAGAGAGATTTACTCCAAGAGCTGTCAAAGGCTGTTTTTCTTCAGAATTGAATGATCGATTTACTGTGATGACTAGAAGTCCTTCTGAGATTTTTTGTTCCTTTTTGTTTGAGAGAGAAGTCTGAACCATTTTTATTTGCTTCACAATCCCCATTTTATTTTTGTTAAGCTTGTTCTCTTCCATTCTGTCACTTTCAACTGTTCAATAACAGAATCTAGTATCTACGTATCCCATTTCTAGAAAGACAAGCCCTAAGAGACATCTTGCAGTTCCTGTTCATCCCAGACATTAGCAGAAAGTGTTGAATGTTCCTCTTCTAAGCCAGGTGGTGCACAGGTTCCCTATCACGTGTATTTGTGGTTGATGCACAAATTCCCTCTGATTCTCAGGCTTTGCTGCAGATAAGTCTGGAGGAGCAGGGCTGGGCCTGACTCTAGCATGATTTGCCACAGCATGATGGGATTGATTTGGTACTTCCAAACTTCTCTGTCCCTATCTGGTATTCAGTACTGATCTTTTTTGATTATTTCTTGAAACTAAAAAGCTTCTTTCTTTGTCTTGTTTCTTGGCAAAGAACCAAAGAACTTCAGTGGCACTTTTAGCCCACTCTTTTTACTGGCAGAAACAAAAGAACACTTTCTTAAAGGAAAGTAATTTTTACGCTCAGAATTGCTTTTTCATTGTAGTTCACGTGTTTTTCAAGATAAGGAGGTTCTTGAATGCACCTTATACTTCTTTTAAGGTGATTTTAAAGTTCTGTTTCAACTAAAGCTATTTTTATCATTTTTCTTCCAAAACCTCATTTTTATGGGTTAGACCACCTTCATATCCTTGCTGTCAAGAGTTTTTTTCTTGACAGAACTTATGATGATGTTAAAGGATGTTTCAAGTGCAAAAGCTATCATTAACTAGCTACTGCCAAAGTGTATAGCAGTTTAGATGAGATTCTGTACTGAGACAGCCAAATAGAATCACCTAATGCCATCTGGGTATAAAGCAACAGAGATCCAGAAATGTTAGTGGTTTTACGTGAAGCTTGTCCATTCTGCCTACTAACCATAACATCACATGGAACGTTATCTGTAACTTAACCTAATAGTGTGCCATTCTACAGGAATTCACAGAATCACAGAATCACAGAATCCCAAGGGTTGGAAGGGACCTCAAGAGATCATCTGGTCCAACCCCCCTGCAAGAGCAGGGTAACCTAGAGTACATCACACAGGAACTTGTCCAGGCGGGCCTTGAGTATCTCCAATGTGGGAGACTCCACAACCCCCCTGGGCAACCTGTTCCAGTGCTCTGTCACTCTCACACTAAAGAAGTTCTTCCTGATGTTAACGTGGAACCTTCTATGCTCCAGTTTACACCCATTGCCCCTTGTCCTATCACTGGATATCACTGGAAAAAGCCTAGCACCATCATCCTGACACCCACCCGTTACATATTTGTAAACACTGATGAGGTCACCCCTCAGTCTCCTCTTCTCCAAGCTGAAGAGACCCAGCTCCTTCAGCCTCTCCTCATAAGGGAGGTGTTCCACTCCCTTAATCATCTTTGTGGCTCTGTGCTGGACTCTTTCAAGCAGTTCCCTGTCCTTCTTGAACTGAGGGGCCCAGAACTGGATGCAATATTCCAGATGCGGCCTAACCAAGGCAGAACAGAGGGGGAGGAGAACCTCTCTTGACCTACTAACCACACCCTTTCTAATGCACCCCAGGATGCCATTTGCCCTCTTGGCCACAAGGGCACATTGCTGGCTCATGTTCATCCTCCTATCCACCAGGACCCCCAGGTCCCTTTCTCCTTTGCTACTTTCCAGCAGGTCAGTCCCCAACCTGTACTGGTACATGGGGTTGTTCTTCCCCAGATGAAAAACTCTACACTTGTCCTTGTTGAATTTCATCAAGTTTCTCCCCGCCCAGCTCTCCAGCCTGTCCAGGTCTCGCTGAATGGCAGCACAGCCTTCTGGTGTGTCAGCCACTCCTCCCAGTTTAGTGTCATCAGCAAACTTGCTGAGAATACACTCGGTTCCCTCATCCAGGTCGTTGATGAAAATATTAAACACCACTGATCCCAGCACCAACCCCTGAGGGACTCCACTAGTCACAGACCTCCAGCTAGATTCTGCACCATTGACCACAACTCTCTGCCTTCTTCCTTCCAACCAGTTCTTGATCCACCTCACTACCTGATCGTTAAGCCCACACTTCCTTAGCTTATCTATGAGAATGCTGTGGGAGACAGTATCAAATGCCTTACTGAAATCAAGAAAAACCACATCTACTGCTCTACCATCATCCCTCCACCTAGTCACTTCCTCATAGAAGGCTATAAGGTTGGTCAAACATGACTTCCCCCTCATAAAACCATGTTGGCTGTTCTTAACAACCCCCTCATCCTTGATATGCCTAGAAATGGAGTCAAGAATAAGTTGTTCCATCACCTTTCCAGGGACGGAGGTAAGGCTGACCGGTCTATAATTACCCGGGTTCTCCTTCTTGCCCTTCTTATAGACTGGTGTGACTTTTGCCATCCTCCAATCCTCAGGCACCTCTCCCGTTTCCCACGACTTACCAAAGATGATGGAGAGTGGCCTAGCAATGACCTCCAATTCAGAAATTATGCTGCATTTCCTACTTGAAATACTCCTGGTAAAGATAACTATTTTTGTGGACTATGATTCAAAACAAGAAAAATGAGTTATTTACCACCTAGCATAGTACTCTGAAAAGGGTAATTCACATGTATGGTTATTTCTTTCCCTCTTCCCCATAATCTTCATGGCTTATTCTACTCTGTTTCTACAACTGAAAGGTACTCAAAATGTTGCCATCTGTGTTCCACTTTAAATATACATAGACACTGTACATGTGTGTCTCAGTATCAGGTATTGTGCATTCTCTTTGCTACACAGATAAATAATTATTTAATTTCAAGTGATGGTGAATTTTGGATGTTAGAAATTGCAAGTGTATGTAAGACCTGACTGTTCTGAAGAGCACAGATGACAGTGCATAATATTTCTCTATCTTTCTTTATTTCTTTTGGCTGAGGGGAGATGTTTGGACTGGGTGTATGCTGAATCTTGTATTTCCCAACCTTGAAGAGTGTTCATTTATTTTGCAAAGGTTGTTCTATTTCATTCTTCAGTGTTTCCCTTCTCTTTTTTTTTCATTTGATTAAAAAAAAAAAGAAACAAATAATTAGGAACATGCCTGAAGTGATAATGTTTCCCATCAGAAAAGATTTTCAATTTTAATATTTGGAATTTTAATTCCTTTTTTATGGATCTTTTTTCTATTTGTTTAAATAGTCCTGTAAATCCATTGTCTGCTTCAATGTCGTTTTTACATTTCCTAATATCTCTTGCTGACTGCTCTGCTATGTTAATGTTAGCTAGCTATTTGTCATTTTGTATTCATGGGCTTCTGATATGTGTCAATTTAATGGTCAGCTTTTCCTTTATTTTGAAGACATTTTTAATCACCTTATGATGTATTTGTTAACTTTTGTTCTATTCTTGATGTTTACTTAGAGTATAAATGTTCTTTCAGATTTGAATTTTTTCATGTTCTACTTCTTTTGAAATACTGAAAGCTAATTCTACATGTATTTTAATAAACAGGACAGGTTTAAATCAGAATATGATGAGCTAGAGGAAAAACAAAAAGAGAAACTCAAAAAATTAAGGAAGATATGAAGAGGATAGAAGAGATTGGTGGTCAAGTAGCTGCTGTAGAAGAAAAACATTAAAGAAAAAAAAAGATGTATCTAAAGACAAGCATGAGGTAAAGGTAGTAGATTCTGGACCACTCACTAGTGTAATTTTTTTCATTATTAGAAAAAACTACAAGAGGAAACAGGAATCCATAGCTCAGAAGAGTTGGATTTTGCAGCTGTGCAGTTGTGCTATGATACCAGGTAACAAAAAACAACATAATTCCAGCCTTATTTTGACCTTTCTTACTGTATTAGAAAAATCTTTCTGTTTCTTTTAACTCCTGTGATCTGTTTTCTCACAAAAAGGAAGCCTATTTCTTTTATATGTTGCTTACTTATAAGCTGAAGAGAACAACTATTATATAAACCCCCAGCCATGGCATGGTGGGGACCTTCTTCACTTCCCTACATTGTGGATGTATGGATGATATTGATAAAAAATGCTTTTCCTTTCTCTCATGAAAGGTCTGTTTTGTATAATAAGAAAAAGAAATAGAAGTTTCTTGAGTTAAAAACAGTCCCTTAACCTACTTGAACTGAATTAAATACACTCTTCTGAGCCTTTCTTTTGCTGCTAGTAGAGCATTACTGTTGCTACAGTATGACATGTTTTAGTTCTCCCCACTATCATCTTAAAAGTATGACCAAAAAGCCATTTTCCTCCAGTTGTAAAGTGATGGCTTTGTACCCTATTCCCATATTTGCAGGGTATGCTAGTGGTGTTAACCTTCCCTGAGTTTGAAACTTTGCGGATTTTTTTTAGAAAAATAACCTTCTCAAAAGAGTTATAGGAATACAAACTAAACTTAGACGCCTGAGAACCATTTCTTTCGTTATTAGTTTCCTCTTTTAGATCCGGTGATCTTTCAGATGTTTGAATGTTTCGCTTATGTGGAGTGCTACAACCGTGGTAATAGAAGACAGAGGGAAAAGTTGACAATATTCCCTAACTAAATTACTGTTTGAAAACAAGGTATTATAATGATAAATGGTTTTGGAAAATACCTGACAGTATGTAGATCAGTTGACTAGTAGTCCTACAAACATGAGACCTTAGGTAGGTAAACAATCATCTCCTAAGCAATACCAACAGTTGCATGTCCCTCTACCATCTCAACATCTGTAGAAACAAACCTTACTGTTTTCAATTGATGTGGGAATCTTCAAAATCTCAACCATATTTTAGTGCAAGATGCAATGTCTATCCCCTATACTGAAGCAAAACCCTCAAGCAGAACCATTTAGTCTTTTTTTTCAGAACTCTTTGGGATGTAATATTTCATGGGGGTGTGTGTGTGTGTTTCTTCTTCTTATTATTATTATTCTTTAATTAAGAGTATTTGCATACCTTTGTTTTATCCTTTTTTGTATGTCTTTTTCTTGAGCAGGTTCTTATTACTTTTCTTTTTTGGGGGGAAATGACTCTGAAAATGACTGGAAACATGGGGAAAATTTAAATTGTTTTCTGTCTTTTATTACAAGTTAAACAGAGTTTGGCTTTCACACTGGTAATTGTCCAACCAGCAACACTGAAACTGGGGCCTGTCCTTCTATCATTACACTTAAATTAAGCCTTGTGTACTGCTCAAAGCCTTTGTTCTGTATTCCACTATGAAATATGTGCAAATCCTGGCAGAAAAGTCCTTCCAAATGTGAGCTGCCACACAGTGTATGAATAGGTGGTCAATTGTTCACTGGTACAAGCAGCTTTACAGTCTGGGGAAGCTTTGAAGCTTCCCTCTTTTTCTGGTTTATGGCAAAGGAAATAAGTATCTTAGGGATGAGGGATGAAAATACAGTAATCATTGTGAAAGAAGTAATTATTAAGTGTCTGAAAGAGGAGGGCATTTTTACTAGACCTTAATGCCAGAAAAGAAAGAGCAAAATGCCTTCATTTTTGTTTCCAAATCAATAGGAGACAAATCTAGCTATTGATGGTTTGTGCCCAGAATTAAGTCAAAGAGTTTTCAATAAGCCATATACTTGTTATGGAACAATTTTTACAATCAAGTAAGATCAACAACTTTGAGCCTATTCAGTTTAGACGTAGGATTTTTTATTTTTGCTCAAAGCCTGGATAAAAGAATTTCTACTGCCTCAGTGAAAAGAAGTTTTTGTTGCAGAATCAGTCTTTAGGTTCATTGCTCTGCTATTTGACGACTAGTAAATAGCTTGTCATGGGAGATTGTCTTCTCTTGTTTTTTAATGCTGGAGAAAGGCTGTATTTTCTGGAGAATGCTGGATTTCAAGGGCTCATGACATAGTCTGTGTGTAGCAGTACTTCACCATTTTTGGAGGAGAGATGGAGGATGTTGAATAAATTGAGTTCAGATAATGGATTATCTGATAGTTTATTTTTGATGCAGGTTTAATAAGTCAAAATGAAAAATTAGGAAAAAAAGCTTCCTCTACCAGCTAATAGTATTTTCAAAACAAGACATTAATGGCAGTGACTAATGTTGTTAGCCCTTCCCCAACTAAAACTAAGTAGAAACAATGTGACAAAGATCACATCATTAGTTTCCTGGAAATCTAGAGAGGTGTGGTGTAAGTTATACATCATGGTCTATAGCTGTGTATTCACTTCTCTTTTAAAAGCTTGGAAACAGAGTTTAAACGAGCAGATTCCTGTGTGAATGATATGCAAAAGATATTGTAACTTCAAGGAAGAACTTTCGCATTGATTAGAAGTTTAAATGATACTTTTGGAATGGTAATATTAATGGCTATTTTAATAATCTTTGCTATATAGTGTGAATGGAATAAACTTTGGATAACGTAACTATTATACCAGTTATATAAGCATATTTAGTAAGTAAAGTTTTCCTTGTTACATGTATTAATAATTATCATTTAATAATTGGTGCTCACACTAATGATGCGAAAAAAGTTACTGCCATAGTCAAGAACTTTACATTGAGGTGCTAATTCTTTCCTTCTTCTTCTTCCTCTTGTTAGCTGTCCTTAGCTATATTTTTCAGGAATTAGTGATAATGAGTTATAAACATTTATTTTGCCCTTTATACAAACTCCATGGAAGCTATTCCAAATTTGTATTTTGATTTCAGAATTTTATTTGTATCTTCCTTGGTAGAGAGAAAGTAAAGAAACGTGGGGAGCGGAGTAAGACTATTTTTCCCTGCTGTGTTATGGTAAACACTCTATGAAGCAGCAGAGATATTTTATATTTTACATGTGCATTTTTTCATTCAAAGCAGAGAGTACATAAACCTACATAACAGAAAAATGGATTTGGAAAAGAAAAGGTAACTGTTTAATATTTAGTAACTAATACATTTTCTTGTTTCTGTAGAATGTGGGACAATAACTTTTGAATACTAACATATCTGTTTACTCATAAACTCTCCAGAAACTCTCCTATTTGAATCAGAGAATACAAGAGCTAGATAAGCAGCAGGAGCAAACTGAACAACAACTGAAAGAAAAAAAGAACTGTTATGCAGCAACAATTAAATGGTAGGCAGGCGAATAATTTAATGCTTGTATGGCTTTTTTAAAGTATGTTTAATCTCAAAGGTTAGGCTGTCATTTCTACACAGTTGCCTTGGAACTATTTACATACATATATTGTATGCACTATTTTCTGTCTCTTGCTCAAACTAACCTATGAGGTCCATAGCCTTGAGACAGTGTAAAGTACAAAGCAGAATTGATACTGGGGTCATTGAGGAGTCCTTTGCTTTCTTCATTTGCTACACTGATTCAGATTGCTTGAGGGGCTTTAGAAATGCAATGGAGAAAATCAATAGAGGACAAAAAAGATTCTAGTATAATAGGAAGTGCCTGCTGATTGCATGTTTGCTCAGCAGATGGCATCTTTTTGTAAATGATGGCTTATATCTGCTGTATCAGTTACTAAACTCTATAATCCACCAAAGGGAATTACTGAATTTCACTACTGAACCCTGTGCTTTGTATAAACATGGTTATAAGCATTAGAAGAAACAAACATTTTCTTTCTAAGATTCAGTTAATTTTTATTATTCTTTCCCTTGCATATTGTAGAAACTTAAGCTAGATATGGCATTGAAGATGAGTCATATAGATTAAAAAAATGAAAGAAATGCTTTCATATTGTTCAGAGTAGCTTTTATGAGCCCAGTAATCTCTACTGAGGTTTACACATATAACAGAATCTTAAATTAAGCACTGGGAAACTCATTGATACAGATGGGTTTGGCAGGGAAGACAGTTTTTATATCCCTTTCTCTTAAAGTTTATCATCTACCAAACTGCAGGTTACCAGTAGATCTTAGAACATGTGAAAATGACTGATGAGTACAACATCATAATCAGTAATTCTACAGTGGTTTTCAGTGCATTTATTTCCTGTATTTTTTATTATTTTTAATGCTGCCTTTCCTAGTAACTAACTAGCTCTATCCATTAGTTACTTGAGCAATATTTGATTTGGTGTTCTGGAGGAGTACTAGAGGAGTGTTCTGGTTAAGTGAAATAACACAATGTACAAAGCCTATTTTATGAGATACATAGAGCTCTGAACTGGTAACAATACCTGGGTACATTAAATGCTGTGTTCTTAGAGCTTGATACAGTTCCTTGATCATAACAATTAACATTTTGTAAAAGGGAGGCTTTATAAAATGGGCTGTCTTATTTGTAATAGTTACTCATATTTCTAGACATGTAAGGTCATACTACATGATTCTGTTAATCATGATTTTTTTTAAGGAGAAGTTATGTAAAGTTATAATCAGACATTTTAGTGCTGTCACATGACATTGGCTTGTTTAAAGCTTGTCCAGTGAGTCGCTTAAATGATGTCATGGAAAAAATGGCTATTATTCCATAGTATTCTTGATGAAGGAGTAGAGTCTTCAACTTCCAAATGGTCAAACAATTCACCCAGTTCTTCATAGCTTACCTAATTTAGGATCCTACACTGGAGGTTCCTGTGTCCCACTGTTGAAGTCGAAGCAACTTAGTTTAGTCTGCTGGCATGTCTAAAAACTAGATACTTGGATAAAATTTCTATCCCATAACACACCAGTAGTCCTGTTCAGCAACTAAGAAGAATCAATAATACTGTTCATGTGTTGAACAGTGAATGACCAAGTGCCAAGGGACTCAATCAGTTTAGGCAAGATACTGTTGTCCAGTACAGCAACCTATAAGGAGCAGATACCCAGTCTATTGATATTTGGATCACAGAATGTAGAGTATCTCACCATCTTTCATTTGGTTTTGGTTGGTTATTTTTTTCCCTAAAACCTGATTGCAAATTCTATGTCTTCTATAATAGGTACCAGCTTGCACTGACTCAGTGGATAACATTTCATATGCTTGGAAGCCAGCATTTTCAGCTTTTATCTGCCTTGGTTAAGATGACCTAAAGAAAGAGACAAAATTCTTTTTCGACAGTTTTGTTCTAACACAGCTTATAAATGTGAACCTGATTCTGCAGCAAAAATCATGTTATGACTTCTTTGTGTACGTTTATGTCTGCCCCAGATATCTTGATCATCTCAAATTTCATTATTTGTTAAGTTTAAGGCTGAGACAGATCATTCAGACAGCCTGTATATCACAGGCTATCACATTCCTCCAAGTTCACCTGGTAGTGAGAACTAAAATTAATACAATTTTTCCTTAGAGGTTTGAGACTCTCTATGGGCCATTCAGTTGCATCGGAATTTGCATTGATTACCTTATATTCATTTTCTGTCTAATGATTCCGTGTTCCTGCAAGAAACCTGAAATTTCATCAATTCTATACAGATACATCCTACACTTTTACAAAGTTTGTAGGCCTTTAAAAAGTCATGTTCTTGAGGTACCTTGCACACCTTCATATCTGTGTTAACAACTGTTACAGAAGCTTTAATTCGTCATTTTTGTTATAGCTATCTTTTAGGCATAACTCTAAGAAGCACTTTCATAAAAGAGAAGACCAGTAGATGATGCTTCAAGTTACTGCTTCAGGAAAAGTGGGGCAGAATCTAAAGAAGAAGTTTTTAAAATACTGATCTTTATTTATCTGTTGTGATGCATTCTTTGCCTACTGAACTGTGAAGTCTTGTGGTATTTATACACGTGTGCACTTAAATTATATGTGTATATATGTATACATAAGAATAATCAAAACGTATTTTCCTCCCTCTTAATTTAATCCATTTACATAGATGCTTACAGCCCATTAGTATGGGTTAAAAAATCTAATGCAGCAAGACTACTTTAGAAATACCACCCAAATAGAAGACTCCCACCCCTTTATTACTATTGAACTGCTACAGTGTTTTACGTTTCTCTTGTTCATTGTAGGGAAGCTGCAGCTTAGTTTACCAGATACTGTTCCTGTAGGTAGAGCTTGCTTGTGTCATGAATCTTTATGTTTTTTGGGTCCCATGACTGTCAGTCACAGGTATGAAAAAGACACTGAAATTTAATCTTTATTCTGTAGAATAGGAAGTTTAGTGATTACCATTTTAATATAAATGTTTTCAGCAGTTTTTTGAGTTGTGTACTTGTAGCTGAGGAAAGTAGGCAGGTGTTCAGGAGTCATTCTCTGTGTTTTAATCCTCTGGTGTCTGGAGTTCAGGACAACTGTGGTATGAAAAACTTGACATCTAAAAGAGGACAACTCTTTCCGTAGGGAACTAAATGAAAAATGCCAGTTTGCAGACGTGATGAGTAAGCCATATTCTACCTGCAGAATTGCAAACAAAAATACTGATTCTTCCTGAAAGTTCAGTTTTTAGCTATCTACCTAAACCAGTATTATATTTTGTAAGTACCATTTTTGGTGGCCTAGCAGAAAAAACTTCCGGTTAAGACACTGACTCTGCATACACTGAAATGAATAGGCCTAGACTTAGATCATATGCAAAAGCTGTTACTTTATCATTAATAAAGTTTTTGCTGTGCAAGTCAGTGCTTATTTGCAAGACTTTTATGTATAAAAGCAAAAATAAGAACAGAAATGTATTTTATGAAGATGGTGACCTACAAACTTGCATACATCAATAAAAAAAAAGGCAACTGCAAAAATACAAGTGCCATAAAAAAGCTTGTGGATAAATAGTAGAAGAATTGTGCAATAAGTTGGAGAACTATAGCTGCATGTGAAACACCATGATCTTACAGAAATGGAATTCTTCCATTTGTACTAAAAGCTTCTCCTGCCCCCTTTAAAACAAGTTCTCTTTCTTTGGATATAAAAATTTCATGAATTGTTGCTCATAATCATGTGCTTAAACGCCAGAATTTGGAAATCTAGCCCTGCCTATTTAACATGCTATGTTTGGGGTTTTTTTTGAATCCTAGGAAAAATTTTCATTTGTATCCAGTCAGATTGCTGAAAATTCTCATACTGTGGAAAATTTAAAACACAAAATTAAAGGAATACATGAGTTATGTGACATGAAAGAAGTATAGATGGAAAAGATAGAGCAACCTTTTGCTGATTTGCGGTAACACCTATCTAGTATATGAATTTTAAAGGATAGTTTATTACTTTTACCAAAATGATTTAGTAATTCAACTTTATTACTATTGCTAAAGATAGTTTTATTATTTTAAAATATTATTTCTAGGAAATGTAATTCACTTTTCATCAATATTTGGAAGTATTTTTGTCTGACCACTGCTTGTAGTTTTAATGGATCTCTAGAAGATATTAATGATAAATTGTCTGCCTCCCAAATTGAATTTCGGGCATCAGAATTGCTTTTGGAAATCTGATAACATTCATGGTCAGTTGCATCCTTAATTAATGGATGATTCCACACACTCTTTTTTCTGATTTAAGAAGTGTGGACCTACGCTTACTGTGACTGATGAGTCCAGAAGATAGTCTCAAAGGGCTCTATTCAACTGATAATGCAGGCTGCCTTCTAGGCCATGCAAGCCTTGGAGGGCTGTATATGCTGATTGCACAGCAGGCTTACTCTTCAAGGGTAAAGGTGAACCTGCTGTGCAATGTCAAAGAGAAAGCAGCTTGGATTGTTGCATTCTACAGGATGACTAAATAGTGAAAAAGTCATCTTTGCATCATTATACTACAGATCCCTTTCTGTGATCTCATTCAGTTATGTACTGTTGGTGTTGGAAGGTCTTTGATTACGCCATGAAATTCTTGACAGGGGGAGGGAAATATTTTTTTCAGTGTAATTTTTTTAGCTGGATATGTGGCACTAGATATGTGTGGAGTTTTTTTCCCAACCCTCAATTCAAACTGAATGATTTGGAATCAATGGACCCAATGTACAATGGAACTTACTGAACTTCAAGTGTGAAAGACACGTTTCCACGACTGAAAATCTTTTCTCATTTTCCACAGTTCTTTAGCCAGTAGTCAGTAGTTTCCTATCAGTGACATGTTATAGTCAAAGAAAAGGATAATATCAATACAAAGTGGTACTGAAAGTTAGTTCCAATAATTAATTGTTTTTACAGCTATGAAGTCCATCTCTTTCAGAAAGGAATTTTCTTGGAAATTGTCCAACTTCTAGACCTAAAACAGACACTAATGAAAACTTTGCATTTGTCTTGAGAACATGCTGTTACAGCTTCCACCTAACAGAAATAACTCTAGAGTCTAAAAATCATCCAAAAAAAACCACCCTCTTAACTTCCAGAAACAAAATGTTACACAAAAGGTGTGAAGCTCCCACTTCCAGTCCCCATAAATAACAAAAGAGTGGTTACCAAATACAACACTGGTTATGGACTAATTCTGTGTCTCAGAATATCATATTCATCTAGATACTTCACACGTGTGAGTGAACCAGTCTATTCTTTAGAAAGTTATTTTAGACATGCAAACTATTTTTTAAAAAAGTGAGAATTATGTATTTCAATAGACACATTAGATATGGATTGATAGGCAATGTCTTGAAGTGATCTAAACATTCATGATAAGCTCCATCATATATTTTTTTATAAAAAGTATTATTATTTGCAAGAAGGCACTATTATAAAATTAAAAATGAAATCTGTAAATTAAGACTAAAGCATAATATAGTAGAAGATCTTGATTACTTCATAGAATTATTTTTTTTCTTTCAAAGACGAATGTCAAGTGGTGTAATGATTAAGGAAAAAAATGTTCAGATGGTGTTTAATCATCTTGAAGATAAGCTAGCAGAATATGAGAAAAAGTTAAATCAGGAAGAAAAAACATATGGAAAATTACTACAGATCAGAAAGAAAAAAATGGAAGATTCAGAAGTGAGTATTAACCAGAGCTGGGTTCTCTATGTTAGAAGTGAAACTATTATTTGGTTAGTTCTGGCTCTTTTTAGGGCTTAGAAGGATACCAGTTTTATCAAAAGTTTGAAATAATTAGTGTCTTCATGTCCATGTGCAAGTATTTCCAATTAAATGATATTTTTCTGTAATAGAGTTCTTTCTGTGGATAAGGAAGTCATTCTAGGAAAATTTTAAAATTGTTCATTTGCTTTGAGGCTTTTAATTTTTCATTCATTTTTTCATTTCTTCTAACTTGAAAATCTTTTTTTTTTCTATTTCCTCAAGTGCTCAGTAACAAATAAATCTCAGATATTTTTTACTTAAGATTGACATCAATAAATATCCATTCCTCTTTAATCACTTAAGTACAAGAATAGTGCTCAGTGCATGCAACCTTCTTGATAGAGCAGCAGTAAAAGATAGTAGTAAGATAGTTGCTCTATCAACTGATGCTTGATAAAGCAGAAGTAAAACTTTAATCTTTTGGATAAAGCTGTTTCTGAAATGTTTGGAGCTGCCTCTTAACAAGACCCTCACCTGGATCTTAGTTGTTGTGGTTGATACCAGCCAGATGGGAGCCAGAGACTATGCAAATATAACTGACAAATCAGAGCTATCTGAAATACAGTTATAAAATACACTGTGGTAGTAACCACAAAATCTTCTGAGAAATCACATGTGAGTACTTAATTTATTTTCTGTATTATCTTAATATTTGAACTTTTCTCCTAAGAAAATGGATTAATTGCCTAATGCTTCACATATAATTGTGTTTGTTTTCACATGACAATGATAGCATTAAAGTGTTTCTCCACTGGGGAGACATTCCCAGATCAAGATTTTTTTCAATTGTAGCTGTGTTAAAAATAATTAATATATTAACTTTTAATCTTGTGTTCTTTACGTCTATGCCCATCTTATACTTTTCTTAGCTCAGAGTAGTTTAGACAAAGTAAGATACTCAGTTATGTTCTCTTTAGCATACATTTTTACTTCCTATTTTCAATGTGTTAGTTTTTGTTGTTTGTTTTCATAAAATCTATACTGATCAGGGTATGGAAGAAAGCAAAATGGCAACAATAAGAACATGGGCTTTTAAAAATAAAGCTTGCCAAATTATTACTTTTAAAAGGATAGTAGTCCTTTCAAAATACTGTATTTGACTCCTTCATCATGTTAAATTAATTCTGAGGTAAAAATACTTGCCAGTATGTTGACTCGCTCATCTTCACCTTAACTTCAAAAAAACAGCTGTAGGGATAATTTAGTGAAGTATCTTTCTTATCTCCTTCTTGAGGTTATCAAGGTTAATTTCTCTTAATGTGTTCCATTTCTTCCTGTCTTGTCTCTGCTTCCATCTCTTTTACATATAGAGTTATGGGTATTGCATGAATTTCAGAGCTCTTAACAGTATTTTTTTAATTATATTAACAAATATTTGAGTTATGAGATTCTGCCAAGCTTTTGGTGGTTAAATGTAAGTAGAAATATTACACTGAATGCCTAAGAGCCTGTTTGAGACTTTACTGGTACACATTGCTAGTCTCTGTGAGAACAACTCTCCATCTAGACCTATAGCTGGAATGGAGGCACATGCTGTCAACCTTTGAATACTCATGTTGTTATTACCTAGTCATTTTTATGTCATTCTTCATTATTTTTATAGAAAACACAGATAAAAGCCATAGACATTTATTCATGTCTAGGAAATCCTCAGCCCCACTGACGTATTTGATTTTTTTGTCTTAATAAATGAAAAATAGAACGTGTTATAAAAATTTGTATTACATCAGAAAGCTCTCTTTTTCTCTGCCTCACATCAAGGTGGTAATAGTACTAGCAAAGCCAAATATTCTGTCAGTACCTTATGGACAATCGAAAAAATTCAACAGGGTCTTCAGTTTGTTTCCCAGCAGAAATGGGCAGAAGACCTAGTACCAGTGAGCGTAGAAAGTTTTGAAGGCATTGGAACTAGGATTTACAGCAAGCTCTTCAAGGAGGCTAGTTGTGAATTGTGGGAGTTACACTGTGGCTTTTAGGATGATCAGTGTGTCTTCTGGAAGAGGTCACTTGACAGCTTTCGGAAGTTCTTCTTAGAGTAGAATTCAAATACTCTACCTTGCTTTGGTATTGAGTGATAAAGATAAATTTTCTTCTTCAATCAGGGTTGAATGTAAAAGTGTTTAAATTCTGATTTTCCATTGCACAATTTCTGTAAAAGTCCTGACTTCAGATAATGTGGTACAATAGTTACGATGCTTTTTTCACCCTGGATCTGGAGGTTTATTGAAGTAGTAATGGAGCTTGCATGTTACACCGGTTTTCACAGTCTCTGCTTTTCTGAGTCTGAAGTTGGGTGAGACCATTCAATCATTAACTGATAGGTAATTCAATAGGAATAGACTAAGCATACTTTTAAGGTGAGAGATGAGTAGCTGGAAAAGTTGTCCTCACAACCTTAGCATCCAAGGGGAGAAATCAGTAAAAGAACAGTGCATTAACTTCTGGAGTACAGAGTACAGGCAGCGGTTCAAGAGGTTCTGATCTAGGCTGTCAAGAAATTCTAGTGGGATACTATACTGAATGAGAACTGCCCGTCTTCATAGTCAAAAAAGTTACATTACTTTGTTGCAAGTGTCATGCAGTACAAAAAAAGGCTAGGGACCCTTGTCAGCATCATGAAGAGAAGTGAAGTTGAAAAGTGAAAGGGAACGGAGTTGAAGAATGGTCCCGATGTAGGAGAATCTGCATAAGAAACAGCTTGAGCACAGAGCCAGATGGAAAGAAATTTTGTGGGGCAACTCTTGCATTGCTCTGGGGGATAGAAGCTGCCTATAAACGATCAGGGCAGAATAAGATGCAAGGCTGAAGAATCTTCATGCCTGGCTCTTGAAAGAACACTCAGCATGTGTGATTTGGCTGAAGAACTGTGTCACTGATTTGCAGACCTTCTAGATTCTGTCTTCTCACAGGAGAATGTAACAACACATAAATACAAGGTGTGACTTTTGTTTTACTAATGTGCATGCTATTAAATGCGGTGAAATTTACATGTACAAAGATGAAGTTATACCTTATGGGTATATTTTATCACTGCTATTTGTAACTACTCTTATGGTTTCTCATTACCTTATGTTCTACAGAGATGGTACAGTCCCCAAACTATCATATTGCCATTTGGTTCAGTGCTGATATGTGCTGTATAAAACACACAGATAAGAATTCTTTGACATAACAGTTTATAATGAGTGTTGGATCACATTCGGGAGGATTACGTTCTGCCCTGTTTTCTTAACCTCAGAACAAGCATGTTTGCTGTTATTTTCTGCTGCTAATGTGATTATTGTACTTCCAATGAAAGTAACTGTAAAAACGATTACTGTGGTTTTGAAGACTGAGCAAGACATTTTGAATGACCACAGCTATCTTGAAATCTGAAAATTTGTCCTCATTAGTATTTGTTATTCAACACATCATAATATATTTAAATTCAGAGATCTGTATATACGGACTTGTGCTTTTGCTAAACACTTTAAAAGTTGTTACTCAAAGAATTAACAGATATGCTAATACTTTGACTTTCTTGTTGCTTTGAAATAGTAGCAATACCATAAATTTCTAATTCTAGTAATTAACATTAGTCTTCTACTAAAAAACCCTTACCTCCCAATACTGCTTCTAGATTTTCTAAAAATTATTTGACCACTGCGTGATATTGGAAAAAAGTCAGTAATAAACTGATATTTCTTTAGCATTTTACTGTAAAATTAAAATGTTCAGTAATGTTTCAGGTAAAACTGAATGAAAATTGCTCAGACATATAAAGGGAATTTGATTAAAATAAGCTTTGAATTATTTATTATTATTAAAAAGTTTAGTTTGCAAATATTTTACTAGATTTTTTGGCCTTGTTTGGTGGTTTGCTTTGTTGTTGTTTTTTATTTATTTTTATTTTAAAGAGAATCGGCATGTTTCTATAAGCATTTCTTTTCACAAAAAAACATTTTTCATCTGGGGAATGATGTATCAGAAAACCTATGTCTGATTCGAACAGCTAGTTATGATGTCTTGTTTATCAGATAGTGAGAATATATCTAACGACATGACCTACAAATTGGCATATTTCAGAAGGGGTTGTATTAGAAATATGATAATATACTGCTGAAAGCTGAATTAAGAAACAGGGAAAACCAAAGTTAGATCCAAGGGTCTATTTATCATAGAGTATTAGGTAAAAACCACTGGGTGTCTTTTATCATCCATTTATTTAGGTTATCTTTTCTACTAGTCATTCTTTTCGGTATTGCTGCACTAGTACGTTTGGAGCAGTTTCCATCTCTTACTTTCAAAAAATGTTCTTAATCAATATTAATGTTACTGAAGAACTTTGTAGCACCCTATCTGTGTAAGCACAAGAGTTACATTTGAAGATATATAACAAAAGAGGATTTTTTTAAAAGCTAGAGAGCCGTTGCTCCCTTTAGGCTATTTAGTATGTGTGCACTGTAAGGATAACAAATAGTCTGGCTATAAAACTGGCTTTAATTAGTTGACTCAGTGGCTTCCAGCAGTGTGCTACACCGGTATGTGGGACTTCCATGTCACAAGATAGACTTTTGAATCTTACTCCATGCTCCTGGGTAGTCTTAGAGTATCGACTTACACGCTGTCCTGTGGCAAGTGCTGGCAGTATTATCCGAACAACCATCCCACTGGTTTTATTGGCTCATAGGGAAGTCATATACCTTCCCTTCTGAGGAATGTGCATAGCTAGAGGTTGGGTGCCATGACAGTAACAATACTCTGAGTGAAAATCAAAGGGATGTAAAAGTGGAAGGTTAATAGAAATGTTAAAGGATAGTTTCTTCATTTAAAAACAAGCCATATGCATAATAATTAAAAGCAAATTAACCCTTGCTGTATTTTAAACAGCATCAATGAAAAGTGTTGTAATGGCTTAAAAACTATTTTTGTTTTAA